TGTCTTGACAAAATCATTTATGATATTCATATGAACAAACTGACTCATGCGAATAACTCAAGCAAACAACTCCTGTAAAATCAAACACAAAAGTTTCAACTCCCATCATTTTGTTCCAACTCCATAACCTTTGAATCCCTCTTCCCTTGGGCAGAGGGCAAGGGAAAACATCGGATGCGAGCTGCAGTACTCACATCCATTTTTTTTTATTGATGGGGTCTCTCTATGTTAATTCCAATTCAGTGCACACTAGTCACCTCAAATATGTAATTATTGATCTGCTGATATTTTTCAAATGTTACACTTACATGGCGACAATCAACGCATGCTAATATTATCAATTAATTCAATTTCCCCCACCAAAATTTGTATACGATATCAAAGTACCTAATGCTCGAATTTCGACAAACTCTATATTCGAATCCTTCTAAGTCCAATATTAAGCACCTGATTTGTCCCAGCTACCTAATGCAAAACTTATTATAAGTGCGAGCGAGGGTATTTGTGATCCCCATATATCATATACATCATTGCAAAGCTTATTATATCAAAGATACAATATCACCAAATTGTTTTAATAAAGGATCTTGCAAATGATTGGACAATGAAAATCCTCTCGATCTCTCCAAATAACACAAAAACAAAACCCCTTCAAAATGGGCTTTTCAGTCTCATATTTTCACTTTCAACAACAGTTATGTTATGTCCCCCCAAATCCCAATCCCCTTGAAATCCTCTTATAGGTCACCATCTTTCAGAAAGCAATAAACCCTTCTTTGCATTATTGTTCCTTCATAGCTCAGAAAATATTTAAGTATGTAATAGTTACTTGGTACCAAATACCAATAACTAATAATGTTCAAAATTTGGCAATCCTATGGATCGTGTGTCAGTACTCAGTAGTGTTAGTGTAGGTGAGGCCCTACCTATATTGCTTGTGCAATTCAGTTCTGGAGGGGTTGTTGAACTTGAATGTGAGTGCTTTTGGAATAAATAATGGCAACCAACTCATAGACAAAAAAAAAAAAAAAAAAATCACCTGAGAGCTCATTCAGTGGCTCTTTCTTGCTTCACACAGATCAATCTTGACATGTTTCTGGCATATTTAGAAAGCTCAGCAACTAAAATGATCTTCAATAATGTTATCTCTCATCGTGGGATCGCTCTGGATTAGAATATCTAGGCCAAAGGTGCTTTTGGATTGTGTTGTCACTACCACAATCTTATGAAGGCGATTCTCGCGGAGTCGTCCTGAATTACATCGTACTTGTAAGACTGTGGTTAAAATTTATATATGCTACTTCTCCCAGTAACTCGAAGTTATTAGGACCTATTGGTTTACGATATGTATCAGAGTTGGTTTTTGATCGTGAGGTCACATGGTGCTCGTCAATGACCCCCCAATACTAATTGGCATCTTAAAGCACATAGTATGACGGGTCCGTGCACATTTCAAACTTTATGAATTGACTTTCGTTTGAGAGGGCGTGTATGAAAATACCGGTTAAGATCCACACATAAACATCTCCCAACAAAGCGTACTCGAATTATACATGAACTTCTCCCATTAACTCGAAGTTATCATGACCAATTGGTTTATGATATAGAACCAGAGCCGCCGGTTCGATTGTGAGGTCACGTGTTCAGGTTCTCGTCAATGACCCCCCCCCCCCCATATTAACCGGTATGTTAAAACACATGGTATGACGGGTTTGTGCAAATTCCAAACTTTTATAGATTGACTTTCGTTTGAGAGTACGTGCATAAAACTGGTTAAAATCCACACATAATCATCCCCGACAACAACTTACTCGAATTCTTGTGATCAGTTAGTTTATAAGAGTAACTACATCTACCTCATCAAAGATACTCCTCTCCTTCGATCCGATCGCATGAAAAACGGATATTCCTATCACCAAATCTCAGAAGCATGATAGCCTCCCTCCACATCAAATCTAAACCCTTGTTGTAATCACACCTTGTCCCTCTCAACTTGCCTTTCCGACAATGTTTCCCGGTGAGCAGTAGATCTGATCACCCGTCATATTAGAAAAGAAAACAACAAGTAAATATACGAGCACATGTCGATAATTAATGGACAGCTTATCACATCTGCACGTGGCCGAATACAAGAAGTCGATCCGGCGATATTTCGAGGTCGGAATCATCACGATCGAATCGATGACGTGAAATCTGTGGGCGGTAAGGTACGCCGACGGTGGATACACTGAGCACAGAGTACAGCTATGTGCTATATCTATCTAGCTACTATAGCAGCTTAAGCATAAATGCTTCGATTTGGGTACGTAGAAATGAATTTGTACGGTGGGAATTAAGTAGAATTTTGTGGTAGAGAAGATTCATACTTGTCCTTCGTGGATTGGCGGCCAAGGCATTGAATTGGGCCGTAAGGTCGCAACAGAAACTAAAGGGTCCCTGGAAACGATGGGGAAAGAAAGGACTTCAAATCACGTATCCCAGCACAATGCATGACACTTGGCGACCGTTCACCATTCAGCTTCTCTTTGCAAATATATAGCTAGTAACTGATAGTGTTATTTATCATGATCAGTATAAACTTTGATAAAAAGTTCCAATTAAAAATAGATTATTGATTGATAGGGATGGCGAGAGTGAAACCGTATGGTATTTTCGAATTCTTTAGTGAATATTTGGTGGATGATATGTTAGAATTAGACCCGGCAAATTACAATCCGACACGAAATCGCCCAAAAATTAGAAATTTTGTAACTCGAAATTCGAATGATCCGAACCCGATAACACGTAATTTTTTGGGTCGGGTTGGGTGAGTTAGCGGGTTGACCTGTTAGACCCGTTCTATTTTATATATCACTCCCAAAATGATAAAATCACATAGATTGGTGAGATGTTTAAGAAAATCACAAGGATTTGAATAACATGTTTGGAATCTAAGGTAATCAAATATCATGTGTTTCTTGTAGTAGTATTACTTTTGTGATTGTTTTTTGACGATTTGCGTCATTTGTATTTCATTTTATTAGCGTGGGAGGATTTGAGAATATGTTAATTGACATGTGCTAGGTATACTATCGTCACGCATATGTGAAAATTTGCGTTCTTTAAGAAAATATTAAGCATGTTTGATATTGTTTTGAGAACGCTCATAACCCAAAATAACATGTAACCCGATCCAAAACCGAATGGGTTGGGTCAATATTTGACCCGAAATCAGCCAACCAAACATGACCCGACCTGTAACCGAAGTCCCCAACCCGACCCGATTGTCAGGTCTAGTTAGAATGAGGTGAATGTGTGCGATACGTTTCATAAAATTTTCAATCGACCACTTTTTATGTTTTTTAAGTTTATATAATCTGTTGCTAGCATGAGTCACATCATTGACTCGATCTTCTTGCATTACATGATGGAGTTTGTGGAGAAAACCAAGACGAGCTTAACCTACAAGTCAAACTCGAGATCATTGCTTAAATTTATTTTTAAATTCAGAGAACATCTTGAACGTACGAAAAAGATAATTCGAAGGGATAATTACCAGTTCCTTAATTAGGGGCATTCAACTTCAGTTTGCAAGTTGGGTAGATAATTATAACAACTAAACTAATTAGATTTTCACACGGTTGGTCTGGGGCGGAACTAAACTCTCCATTTTATGTCCCTGTACAAGACCATATGAAATTGCGCCAAAATTTCTCCGACATTTTTCAGATAAAAAAAAATAACTTGACGATGACTTGTGCAACATACTTACAAACGGGTTGTCATTGTCTTGAACCTAGGAACCCTATGATACCGTCGTTATAATGCAAATAACTTATTACTTTATCCGCTCAATATATCGAAATTCAAATGCCAAAATATTGAACAAGTTGGTGTCCCATTGAAGAGACATTTCTAAATATCTATCCCCACATTAGAGCCCAAAGAAGTGTGAGGTAAGGAAACCTACAACACATCCTAAAACTCAACCAATACATCAACAAAGGTGTCCTCTTTTTCCTTTCCCTTTTCTTTTTTCCCACAAACAATTAAGGGAAATGGGGAGCACTTGACAAAGTGCTTTGCTTTCTGTATCCTACCATTCAATTAGGTAAAGTATAGAAAAATAGATTCTTCTTGTTTTCTTTATATCCCAACACCACTCTAGCCATGTTAAAATATTCGACAACATCTCTCTTTGTTTCCTTTATGACATCACCATGACTCTTCAGAATTTAACTTAACCTAGTCGGTTGAACCGGCTAGATCACGACTCATCATCGTGACATGGTCAAAAGAAATTAGGTTGTCCGGTTGAATATGAAATTTTTACCATCATGTCATCAACACGTGGATGCCGCACGATTGGGTCATGCAATCCACAATCTCGATCATTGAATCAACACATCTTGTTTACACATAAACGATCAAAGATTATTGAGCCATGTGCTTTGATGATGTCATATGACAGAACGACTTTCACAATCAAAACACACATGCTATGCTAACTGAATTATTATAATTGTATGTTACTAGACGGTTAAGATATGTTAGACATTCGTATAAACTAAAACCACGATTCTCTTCAATATTGCATATAACAAATAATAATCTGCGCAATTGAGTCGATTCTAATTTTCTAATCGACATGGTGACCCGATTATCGGCTCGAGATGGCCAAATCAAGCATGACAACATTGGAGATCACATTTGTTTATCAATTAGCGAATATGCCATCCACAAATCAAGACAATTCCACAATCGTAAGCAGCTGAAGGAATGATGCACAAGCATTCAAATGAGTAGTTATATTGCCAGATATGGTTATATTCGCAATCCACCATCATAGGCAGACATAATCATTCCCTAAAAAGAAGCACAAATAGGGATTTGGAAAACTAAACTTTACCTTTTTTTCCCCATAAAATAATTTACGTGTGAACGCGCTTCACGATCATAAATTTACACAACGCAAACTGTTAGAACGAAGTGCTCATCTTTTGTCGGTTTATTCATACTAAAATAACCGTTCAAATCAACAACGAGATGGACAGGTTCACTCAAAATATCCAATTAGTTTTTTCACATATTATTACAAGCGTCGTTAATGCTACACTGCTAATTTCATCCGCCTACGAAACTCCACACATCGTTTATAAACTCGATAAACGTTATTCGTAAACGTTAAATTCGACTATTTTACAAATGACGATGAAGTTCTGTAGGCAAAAGAAAATCCGAAATGCAGGGGTTTTCACATTCACATATAGTTACATAGTCATAATATGTCACAAAGTTTTTTCTTTCTTTAATTTATTTTTGGACTCACTCCACTCAATTTCAATTTTTTACACAATGCTGCGATCCCAAATTTTCGATCACCTGGAACCAAACGACGGCTGCAAGCTCAACTCCTCTGCTTCCCACAACGACCCCGAATCCAAACCCTCTCCATCAAACATCCGCCAGTAGCTCATCGACAAGACGCAGACCTCCTGATCGATCCCGTCCTGCAAAAGATCGGGCAAGTCGACGAACGCATCGTCGCCGTCGTCTTCAACCACAGACTCTGGCAGCTGATCATCCTGATCCTGATCACGAGGACTACTGATGTCATCGCGGACGCCGCCATCGATCGCTCCGACGTCGTCCCCTGCTTCCTTGACATCCATGGCGGCCGCCAATGCGGCGGCTGCTTGGATGTCTTTCGGGGAAGCAGAGGCAGGGCGCGGGAGCAAGTGAGCGAGCCGGGGGAAATTGAGGTGGGCAGAGTCGCCCTTGATGGCCAGAGCAGCCACGTCGTGGGCTCGAGCCGCCATTTCGGCCGTGGCGAAGGTTCCCAGCCAGATTCTTGATTTCTTTCTCGGTTCTCGAATCTCGGACACCCATTTCCCCCACTGCCGCATTCTCACTCCGCGGTAAGAGAGGTGATCCCCTGTTTTGGCCTTCTTGCTGCTGCCCCTGACTTCTTCTTCTTCTTCTTCTTCGGCCGAATCGCTGTCGCGGTCGTGATTGCGCTTATGGGACTTGACATTGTGGTCTGGAGATGGGGATGGAGAGAAATGGGAGTCATTTGAAGAAGGAGATGATGGTGAAACAGAAGAGGAAGAGGTGGTAGTGGAGGAAGAAGGAGAGAAAGAAGGGGAAAGAGGGTCGATTTGAGTTTCAGAGTCAGAGCAGTCTTGATTAGGTGTTTCCATGGCGGAAGAACAGAGTAGAGAGAGAGAGAGAGAGAGAGAGTGGTAGAAAGGGGAGGAAGGAAGGGAAGGAGAGAGGCAAGTGCTTGGAGCTGAAGGAACTGAGGTTCTTGTTACACTTCCTTTCAGCTGTGAGTAGTAGCATGTTTATATGCATTTATTTTAAACACAAATTATGAGGAAAAGGACAGGGAGGGGGGAAAATGGAAAAGGAAAAGGAAAAGGAAAAGAGTTCTTCAGGTTCAGGGTGCCTTGAAGTCATGTTTGGCAATACACTTTTCTTGTTCCTGCAAGTTCTATTTTACTTTTTCTCTACACACAAAATTGACAGGTTCACAGGTGGTTTCAAAAGTATTACTAGAGAAATTGCAGAACTTCAGTTCATAACTTGATTAAGCTGAAGAGCAGTCCCTCACCAAACTATACAAGTTTTTTTGTTACAAGATAGTGCGTGCGAGATCGACCTAAACGGTATAATTCAGTATCTTTCAATTTGTTAAATTCATATATGCTCCAATCAGCTAGAAGTGGTAAGAAGGGCAAGTCACATACTCACATATGTGTGTTCTTTCGTTCCAATTTTTTCAAATACTTAATTGTAAATCGTAATTGTCTTATCTAGAAGTCTTTTAGATAATATTTTAACTCTTAACATAGTCACAATCAAAGTTCAAGTTTCCTATCAAATGATTTGGCTTATGCATTTAGAATGGATCAACCTATCCAACAATGCCCCAAAACAAATTATCCAACTTGATCCGCTCTGGGAAACATATATAAATATCGAAGTATCCGATTCACCTCGTCACAATCAATGCCTATGAATGAAACTAATAAGCAACATTTTAACTCTTAACATAGTTACTGTGTGTGCAAGTTTCGTACAAACTAATTTGACTAATGAAGTCGGAATGAATCGACATGTCCGATCCACCTCAACACAAATTATTCATCTTGATCTGCTCCATTCCCCGGGAGCATACATATAAATATCGAGATAATTGCTCCACCAGTCCCAATCAGGATAATAACACTAGTGTCATCCTAACAAAACTTGTGTCAATATTCTGAACTCTGTTTCCAGAAGGTAAGAAGAGAAACAGAGTTATCCCAAAGTACTAATGGAATCTCTTACCCACGAGGTTACAGATTGCTGCAAGCAAGAAAGAAATGGTCAAGAAGAGGAGAGTTGAGCTTTGATGCTAACTGCAGCTTTACAAGTTTTCTCTTCTTGGCCTCTTGGGTGCTAATTATGTCTTATTCAATCGTATTAAGTGTCATTAATATATGACAAAGGGTTAGCCTCTTATCCTTATCTTCTGTTAGTATATCTCTTTTATCTTTTTCCCTCTGTGAAAGAAGAAGAAATTAACTCTTTTCTTTCTCTAATCTCACGTGCCCACTTCTGGCATCACCAATTCGCTAGCAGCCTCAAGTACAGAAAAACCTAATTGGAAAACGATTATTGTTGATAATAATGTGATTAACTAACTAAACACGAAAGGAATAGGAGACAGAGAGATAGAGCCATCCGAGTAGGTAGACTTTAGTCCTTCGATACTTAAATAAAAAGAGAGAGGGTGGACCAGACTGTGTAGCCCCTTCCATTTTCCAGACATCTTATTGAGTGAAAATTTATACTTGCCGACTACTACTTCCAAAAGGGTTTTCATGGATCACAAGAAAGTTTTACATATTTGTTCTTTGGGAAGTGGCAGAAATTTCATTTGAAGGTTGTTTCCAAGTATTTATGAAGAGCTCTAAAACCTTATCGGCTAATGTATTTGCTAAATTTATAACATATTTCACATGTAATTTTATCTATATTTTAAAATTGAAAGTGGATGAACGCTTCTTCACTGCATTTCGGGGACACTCCACCTTGCTTGTCACATCTTTTACCAACCTTGTTACTACACATTTCGTCTTCCTAGTATAACTTTAACATAGCTATATGAAATCGAGATTCTATCCATCAGATCGATCAAATATGGTTTCCTTAAACTCACTCTTTCGAGTAAGTTGTACGATACCTATCTCGTTGAGCCTTAGATTGATTTACTTGACCTGATTTTGTCCTCCACGACACAAACCCAACATGAAGTATTGATTTACGAACGAGTGTTTCAAAACGATATTATTATATTGCGCCTATTTTAACAAAAAGATCAAGTGCCCATGGGTAAAGAAAACGACATGCCGCCGTACTAAAATGAAAGAGAAGTGTTAGGACTTGTTTTTGTTTTCCTTTCCATGGATACTTTTAACGTAGCCAGGATAGACATATTGTGACTACGAAGTGACATAAGAAAAGCTGGCAATGGGGTCTCTTTCTTTGAGCACCTCCAACATTTGTGTGAGGGACAACTAACTGTACCAACTATAACTACTCCATTCAATTCCCCCTTCAAATTTCCCCCCCAACTTTTTGGATCGATGGGCATTAGTACTCTCATACAATGGCATTTTAACAAATATGACCCCCATCTTATGGTGTTTAACAAAACCATAATCCAAATGTGCGAGTAAGGGATCGACTTATGCTCGACCAACCCAGTTAATAAGGGGAATTCGTGGGTTGATCAGGTACGAGATTGGTATGGGCAATACCAGCAAAGAAGGTAGTAGGAAAGGGTTTAAGTGGCTCCACTCGTTCTCAATACCCATATCCATCCCGGATTCAACTCCTAATTACATGTTATCTTATGTCCTCCCCTTCACCCTCCACCAAAATTAAAAAAAAAGTTACAACTCTAACTAGGGGTGAAAATTGGGGTGGATGTGGTTACCCGTCCCACATTTTGCGGGTAACCACACCAACAAATATAGAATTATGGTACCCACAACCCACTGCGGATTGGCGCGGATTGGATGTGGATACCCACAAAAATTTTCGTTCCTTCATCTTTCGGACTCGTATATTATAAACCTATCGGTCAAGTGATGGCAAAAAATGCACATTGAGTTAAAACTAAGTAAACAAGCCCAAGACATGGAATGAGCGAGGATCCGGTATTCGGAACTTCCTAAGTAGTCAACCTCCCTCTCATCGATTCACTTCACTCGCTTACAGGTCACTTCACTTTCTTTAGGAAATGCAGATTGTGGGTTGGAGGGGATCTAATCTAAATATACATAGCATCTTTATCAGCGACATGACTCCTTTGCTTTTTTATTCCGAATTTTTTAGGGATAAATGAAATTCTCTCCCGAGTTGTCGAATTAGCGTCTTCTTACACAAAAACAAAAACCTACATAAAAGAAAGTTAATAAAGTGTTAAATAAACTATAAATCATATGTATTGACTTAGTTTTGTTATCAAATAAACACATATCTCGTGGACAATGCTTATTTAATAAAAGTATCCATACGAACACGGTGTATTGACTTTGTTCTGTTTTATAAAATAAGTACATATTCGATTTTGGAGCATACTTTAATTTGTAGCATTCTACTTTTCACATACTTTAATATTACAAAGTATTATTAATAAATAAATATACTTAGTGTGGTTATTGTGGATTTTGTGGGTTAACCGTTGTGGATAGTGGTTAACCACTAACCACAAAAATCAATATTTTGCTACCCACACCCAACCCACTATCTACAAATTGTGGGTATGGTTACCCACAAAGTATGCGATTTGATGCGGTTGGTTACATCAATAACTCTAACCTCCTTGTTTTCCTTTTTAATTCCATCAATACATCATCAAATACATATATGTTATCTATTAACCCTAATTCTCCCAAAATATTTATATTTTGGTTACATTTTGCATACTTTTGTGGTTTGTTTGTGATATATGATGCTCATTCAACGTACAAACATTACAATCATATTTGTTTTCAACTTAATTATATTAATTTTGAATTGAATTTTGATAACTATGTGTCGGAGGACATTATTTGCAGGTATCTGAAAACCACGAAGATGAAAAAGTACCACTGGCACGGTGACGGAGAGGGCGTGTGTTTAAAAATGCACCCTAAACCCGATCCATTGTTGTTCACTTGTTCCTATTGGTAAGCACATCTTAGACTACTCATATATCACGTATAACATAGATTAATGTTTTGCCCCTCAAATCAACTACCAGATCTCATCTAAACACTCTCTTTACAATGTATCTGGTAGCATGACAAAGCCAAATCGAAGAGCAACCGATAGATCTTTGACATAATGGGTGGGAAAACAATTACGAGTTTGCCGTTAAATCACGACTGTACCGAATAAGCACGATTAGCAGCTAACCGTTTAAATTGGCTCTTATATGATCACGGTTTGTAGAAACCGCATCGAATAAAATCATGGTTGATTCACTAACAACACTAAAATAGTAGTCAACAAGCCAACGCTAGAGCAACACCTCAGGCTGGCAAGCCCTACCACCACCAGCCCGCCTAGCGTCCCATCCACCCCAACTCGGCACTTCTAGCCTCCAAGAATCCACCAATTCCATTTTCGTTACTCTCAATTCGTCAATCCTCTTCCACGCTTTGACGTTGTTTTCCCAAATTGCGAAACGAAATCCTTTCCTGGGGTTACTAGAGACCTGCCAACCTGGAGTCTGGAGTGATGAATAGAGTCGAGAGACTAGGGGAATCGATCGCTAGTGAGGAGTGGCAACTACCTTATTCCAGAGACCTCAGAGTGACCTTTTCGATTACTACCTCGGTTAACCACTAACTTAAATGTGCAGCTAGTGGTTAATTGCAAACCATTTGCGGTGCAGTCACGATTGGTTATTCTTCTCTTATTCAGTTGAGGTTAACCACGCTACACGGTGCGATAACCAGTGAAAAACAATGCAACTCTCGATTTCTAAGTGATAAACCACACAGTTTCCCAAACCTACTTTGACTTACGGATCCAGGTAAAAAATTTCACTCAAGGACTAGAGACAAATAAACAACAGAGCCAGGAGCCTTAATAAATGTCAATAACCCTACTTTTTCGTTTCTCTTTTCACGAAAGTGCCCGCTAGCCCATTTATCACTACACGAGGCTTTCACTGCTGGAGATTTGGCCCATTCTCAAATCATGTTAGAGAAGAAAGAAAACAAAAGAGGCACCCCAAGACCCAAGTGCAAAGAATCAACCGTAATCCCCATTTTCCAATCATCTTATAACACCAATTTCCCTATCCCTACCAAAAGAAAACAATAAAAAGCAACCATCCTATTGAATTGTTCCAAATAGCACATAGCATTATTGCCCGTTAATTATTTGATAACTAAGTTTTTGTCGTTGTTACTGTTGCTGTAATCATGGAAACTGAGCTCGTTTTGTTTTCTTCTTCCGATTAAAGAACTAATTTGCATGAGAAAGAGAATCAATGATTAGAGTTTGACCAAATACTTCACTTACAGCATTTCTTTTGCAGGCTGATTATGGCGTCCAGCGCATCGTTCCAGACCTCTGTTCATTTCCCCCAGCGGCGAGTAACTCAGATGCGCACCTGGGCAGTAATCAAGTGTAAGTCAATGCATAACGAACGACAACAAACGACCTAGTATCAACGAAGTGGATGAACTAAGGAAGAAAGTCGTTTCATTCTCATGGATCAAACAGAAAGATTGAAGTGATCTTCAACCTGCAAATTAAATCGGCACAGCCCGATTATGCTCCTTGATGAAATGAGGGTTCCAGGCTGGTAGATGCTGTAGAGTGTGAATTTTTTTCCTTCACCCTTTTCTCTGGGGATCTACCATGTCGTAGGATCTCAAAAAAAATCTGAAACAGAGAAAACTTGAACACAGATTAGTGGCTATAATCTAGCAGCAAACTGTGTGTCATAAGGTACATTGATAGGAGACGGGAAGCCGCCCGTTCTTTTGTTCTTTTTCTATAAGTAGCTGCCAATCCTGATTAGGACCATAAAAAGAGGAATCATTAGACACCACGAATTTAGGGGCATGGGCTACAGTAATACCAACTACAGTCTAGCAGCAAAGAGTCAGAAAGAAAGCAAGAAAGCAGAGACAAACCACACTCTGGGCGATGTCGAAATCTCGGGACTGTTGACTTTTTAAGACCAGGGGAAGCCACTTAAGTGACCACTCGAGGAGAGAACAATAATGGAAGATGATGTGTGAATGCATGAACAAAGTTGCTGATCTTTCTGTCAACCATTTCCAGGCTACAGAGTAGTAGCATGTTAGGGAAGATTTCAGGATATTAACTACACAAGATGAAAGCAACTCACCTTAGTGGCGGCCCCCTTTGCATTTCTTCTTTTAGTTATGGGGGAGACTAAGGCATGAATATCGCGTTCCTAAAAATAGTGCAACCATAAAAAATATATGAACTTATTGCTGAACAGAAAGACTTGGTTATCCATAAAAATAGGTGTACCTTTTTCTTTCTGAATATGTGAACTTATTAATGCTCTAGCTCTCTCTACCAGCCAAGAGCTCAGTCGATACAATTCCAAGCTCATTCCTCCTTCCATCTGTGGTACTCTCCGTAGAACCAAACATACCATGAGTACTCTAGAGACAGAGAGAGACGTACTATTTGTACTCAAAAAGAGAAAGAGATGATACCTATATTACAACATTGTGGTTGGAGACCGAGAGGGGTCGATGAGCCAAACAAGTAACCTCAGGGCTCTTCGAGAGCAAGAGACCCTGAGTCAAATGACATATTGGATGAGTGTCTAAAAACTCACCTATTATCTTCTAGTGTGCGCGTCTTCTCCGAGCTGAAGAGAGTAAACGCTCATCCATCGATCCCTGCATGTTGCAGAAGATACTAACACAAGAAGATACGGCATCAGGATTTAGACACTTGTCCAGTTTGTCACATTGACTTAGGCAGCCTCCTACTCGGCAAACTCCTGTTAACTTATTGGATTTATTCTGCTCTCTATCTCCAAAATTGCAATATGGATCATCTGTCTTCTCCTATCACTCTCTTCATGGGAGTACAAATAATCTGTTTGGTTCTAAGAAGTGCCTTCAGTGCTAGATTAAGAGTATCCAGAACACAAAGATTACTTCTGCAAGCACAGGAGCACAATTTCATTAGATTGGCAGCAAACCGGAACTTGCAGATAGACAGCTAGCACCCTCACTAGGGAAAGTTCAGCATAGTTGCGAGGAATAGCTATCGATGTTTACCAGCAATCAAGACACCATGGCTTTCCATAAAGATGTTGGTTCTGTTCCTGGCTGAAACATAAATGAAGATAACAAGACAAAAATGCTAAATCACCAACACATACAACATAATGGAAAACCAAACAAGTTAATGCTGCTCCTGGTATCATGATAAGTTGCAAATGTCAGAAACTTTACCTCCTAATCTTCGAGGCAATTCAGAACTCAATTACCGTCAAAACTCAATATTCACAAACTTGACAAATATTTATATTTCCAGCCCCGTGAACCAATATAACAGCAGTCTTAAGCCTGACTAGTCAAGCTCCAAAAACTGTATGTTGCCGAAGTCCCAAAATAATATAACAACAAAGCTCAAAGGGCCAGCATAGCCTAACAGCAGTCTTAAGCCGGACTAGTCAACCTTCAAAACCTGCATGTTGCCAAAGTCCAAACAATATAACAACAAAGCTCAAAGAGCCAGCATAGCCTTTGGATCACTTCTCGGTCATATTTGCTAGTGGATCTTCAGGTCATCATACATGGTAAACTAAGCAACAGTATCGAACTAAATAACAAACATGTACAGCTGGAAATTCTCTTCCCCAGGTAGACCTGTTACCACCTAGCATACATGAAAACACACTAATCCGTATAGTGACAATGACATGGTTGCAATGTGCGAAATCTTAGAGCTGCACAAGTTTGGAATCTTTTGTTTTTATAGGAGGGTTCACAAATATCTAGGTCGCATATCAAACCCCATGTTATACAAGCCCACTACAAAACAAAATTCTGGAAGCCAAACATTAAGTACCAAGGACGATAGTGTAACGAAAAAATCAACGAACAGACATGTTCAGCATTGTAAGTCCAAATAAAGGACGAGGTTTAAAGCAGAAGCAGCAGATTTCTAGTCCATGCAATGTTGTGCCAATAAGTTTCCTAATGTAGTTCACCTGTAAACTGTTCTTTCACCTAAACTAGCAACATGAAATCATGATAACACTTGCTGGATCCTTCTTCCTAATATACCTAGTCAAACATTCCTCCCACAGCACCAGATGACATCCCACGTCACTCAGTACAATGCATTATACTATCCCTGCAATGAATTTTAGCCGCCAGAAATAATGAGGAAACAAACACAGGCATAGGCAACTAATGCATCTAATTCCAAAGTCCACCAACTTATACGCAGAACAATGAGCAAGGAGTTTGGATAGAAATGAAATGCTTCAGATTTAGTTATGAAAATTCATGATTCAAACCTCCCATTCTCTTCTTACAGACATAATTGCAATGCCTTTGCTAGGAGCAATAGCAGTTAATAGTTGGAATGATGTGTAGCTTCTTTGTAGCAGTAGACCACGCAGTTACCATTGCAGTAAGTACATCCCTCTTTTCTTCTTTTTTTCCATGTTCTCTTGGTTCTTGCCCCACGTGAAATAGAATAATTACTCGAGCAGAAAATGGGAAATAAAATCACGAGAATCCAAAGATTGCATAAACAAGAACTTCAATACAAAGAGGTAAGAAAGTAACAGCTGAACTATCTATTCAAAAATATTAACCAACACAAAACCAAAAAAAAAATTCACAGCAACAGCAGTCTATGTTACAACTTGACAAGGAAGTATGCTACAATGAAAAGGGGCCAAAAATCTCAATAAGGAGAAACAAGACACAATAATTTCCCGGAAAAAGGTTCTCTCAGTGATCAATTGCACATATAAACTCCACTGTGGTACCTGTGATTAACCTCAGAGAAGTCAGTATTCCCTTCTGAGGCAGGCCGCAAAGAAATCTCTGATAATGAGGTAGTTCCTTCCATGGAGAACTTAACATAACAAACTGCCTCTATCTCTTCATCACCTTCTCCTTCACTCGAGTCAACAGGCATCCTCACCCTCAATTTACCAGGAGCACCTTTAAGTGGAATCTCTGGCAAAACCCATTTCAATTCTTTCTGAGACCTATTCAATGCTGCTTTGGGTGAAACCTTCAACAAAGTTGGATCAACAGGCAACTTCAAAACAAATGTCACATCCTTCAACGGTGCAGGCAAATCTGGATTTGAGACATACTGGATCATGACAGAGAAAAGGGTCCCACTATGACGTTGAACTAGACGAACCCTCAATGGCAAAGGAGTCGACTTAGGCAACAAACTATACTTCAATATCGGTATAGGTTCATCCGAGGCAGCAGTCCTAACATGAAACATTCCATTACCAAGGCTACTGATCTTTGAACTGTGCATAACAAACCGCTTGACAGGTTTTGTGTTGTCAACCCGGAACGAAAACTCTGTTTCTTTTTCGCCAGCCTGTTTGGTTGGTAATGTTTTCAAATAAACTACACCCATCAACCCAACTCTAGCAAGCAGTGATTCTCTAAATTCAGCACTAATTTCTTCAACGATGTACATTTCGGGTCCCTTCATTTCGGTTTTCTGGACCAAGAGATTCTCAAGAGGAGTATCTCCACCTCCAGCTGCAGCAGCCTTTGCTGCCACGGCAGGATCAGCACCTGTTTGAAGCAATTCCAATCCACCGAGACCTTGCTGCTTTGGAATTTTCTTTGTGCCTACAAATTCTGATGCATCTAATCCACCACCCCAAGCTTCACTAAACCCTTCAAACGTCTCTCCCAGGGAAGTCTGTTCATTGCTGAACTCAATTCCACCATAATCCCCTTCGAACCCCTCCACAGCAATACGTGTAGCTTGCGTAGCTTCAGCAGGTGGCAATGTAGTAACCTCCAGCCCAGCCAAAGCAAGTGTCAAATCGCTAGCCTGGCTCTTATCCTTCTTGAACTCACCAGCAAGATCTTCCTGTTTGTTTACCGCCTCACTCGCGGCAAAAGGATCTTTTGGTACATCCTTCTCTTCCTCTTTCTCTTCCTTCTTCTCCAATTGCTCCACAACCGCAGGGGCAAGGCTGGCCGCTACTTCATCTCCGGCAGCGAGTGTCTCCGGCGGTAACTCAAATATTGCATTGGAGAACGCTTCCACGCTTCCCTCGTGCTCAATCGCGTGACCTTCCACCGCAAGCCAGCTGTCCCCACCGCGAATCTTGCTCTCCGTGTCCAGCGCAGAATGGACCATTTTCGCGATGCTCTCGCCGTGCATCGAAGCCAGCATAGCCGCCAACCGGATGCTGCTCACTCCTCGGAGGACGATGTCCAGCGCCATGTAGATCTCGGCGTACTTCCGGCTCAGCTTCTCCGGCGTGACGTCGACGCCGCGGCAGGCCGAGACGATTACGCTTACAGCTTGGTTGACGATGTGGATGCACTCGAAGACGTTGACGGAGTTGTCGTGGTCGGCGATCGTGATCCCGAGGACGTAGATCCCATTGACGAGGCGGTAAACCACGCGATACTGGCTCTCCACGCCGACAATTAGCTGCCCGCTTGAGGCGGCGAGAGGGTCGTCGCCGAGGGAAGAGAGGGAATCGGACGATACAGAAGAGGCGTAGTCATCGGCGGAGGAGGAGCGGTTGTGGTGGTTGGCAGCGGGGTGTTTAGTGGCGGCGAAGGCCAGGCGAGTCTGGCGGAAGGCGGAGGTTGCGACTAGGGCTCGCGCCGGAGGGAACCATTCTCTGGTTTGGATCAGAATGTCGGATCCATTGGCCGGTTGCAGAGAGAGAGCGAGGCAAGACATTTCGTCGACGGCGGGAATCCAGAACGCCGGGAAATTGGACGGATCTAGATCTCTGCTTCCCTCTGGTTTTCTCTAATGAGTAGATTCCCCTCTTTCCTATCTCTGAGCTTATTTTCTGATCTGCGAGGAGAGGGCGAAGCAGAGAGGTTTGCAAATTCCGCTGGAAAGGAAAGGAAAGGAAATGATCGGCTGCAACCGTTATTAGTGAACTGGAGTAATGGATCCTGTGCGATGCAAACACGTGTCACCACCGACGTCTAATTCAATATATCTCCAGCGTTAACTTAACGCTAAAATATCGTATTCTCATCACGATATTGAACATATATATATATCGTCATCTCGTCTGATCTAACCAACTTGTAACAACCTTATTTGTTTAATTACGTATTGGAACCTGTACTACTGTAAGTATACGAACTAATCCTATACAAGTTTGTGCACCTACCTAGCCTATAAATAAGCTCAAACTAGTCATACAGAGAAATTGCTAGGGAGGGCGTGTTAACATGTGGTTCAATCTGCCAATAAATACTAAAATTGCTGTGGTGGGTGATTGGTGTATGTGGATTGTGGATCAATTGTTTTGCAGATACTTGTTTTGCACTTGAAGACGTTGATGGAGTTGTTATGGTCGGCGATCGTGATCTCGAGGACGTAGATCCCATTGACGAGGCGATAAACCACGCGATATTGGCTCTCCATGCCGACAATAAGCTCGCCACTTGAGGCGGCGAGAGGGTCGTCGCCGAAGGAAGAGAGGGAATCGGACGATACAGAAGAGGCGTAGTCATCAGCGGAGGAGCGGTTGTTGTGGTTGGCGGCAGAGTGTTTGGTGGCGGCGAAGGCCAGGCGAGTCTGGTGAGTTATGGCTAATAATTTGTATTTCGATAGTTGTGGCTATAATTCCCCGCTGTTTAATAGTTATGGCTAATATATTGTATTTACCCTATTATAAATATTAGTTAACTTGTCTAATGGTTAGTCAAGTAATTGCTTTTGGGATTAACCCACAACCCAACCACATCTATTCACCATCTATTCAACCCAACACAAAGAAAAATGTGGATGTATAGCGAGTTACAATTGAATCAACTCGTTAATAAGCGGATGATTCAATTTGAAACCGAAACTCATACAACCCACCCGTTATTGTCCATCCTTTAACAGTGATGTGGCCAGGAATTTGGTTGAGGAGAGTTGAATTGAATCGTGATAATTGAGCGAGGGGGGCTAAGGTCTTATCGACTACTCTATTTTCTAAATTTATTACGAATTTCACATATAATTTTAATTATATTCTCAATTTGAGTGAGACTATACCCCTACTAATTTCAACCTAACTCCTCCACTGTCCACTTAATATAACTACACAGTACTATCTAATTATCTACATCATTTAGTATGATATATATTCGTAACTATTATGTACGTGAAAAATCATTAGAGCAGTTACAAACTCAATTATAACTTATTCGAGTTTCAACCACAAAAACATGTCGAATCTCTCACGACAACAAAAACTCCTACCACATTCATTAAAAAATATGTTGAGAGTTACAAACCCAACATTCATAATAAGAATTTAAAGAAAATAGATGGGAAACTCTTCTTTTAATGAACAAAATGGGCACTCAATTATCCTCTACATTAGCAATATGCACCATCCTTTTCACAATCACCGCATTCACACCGCCGGCAAGTTCCAGCCCGCCGGAGCCACCCGTGAAATGCACGTCCCACAACACCAACTGCACCGTCACCAACTCCTACGGCAACTTCACATCGGACCGGTCCGTCTGCCGGGCCGGCTCGGTCGCCTACCCGGCCACGGAGGCCGAGCTGATCTCCGTCGTGGCAAACGGCACGCGAGCCCGGCGCAAGATGAAAGTGACCACCCGGTTCTCCCACAGCATGCCCAAGCTGGTCTGCCCGGACGGGACCGACGGGCTGCTCATCAGCACGGACAAGCTCGACCGGATCCTCGAGATCGACCCGGTCGGTCTGACCGTCACGGTCCAGAGCGGGGTCCTGACCGGACAGCTCTACGACGCGCTGGCCCGGGCCGGGCTGGCGCTGGCCCACACGCCGTACTTGAGGGCGCTGACCGTTGGCGGGATGATTAGCACGCACGCGCACGGGAGCACGTTTATGGCGAAAGGTGGCGCGCCGAGTGATTATGTCGTGGGCGTGACGATTGTTAGCCCCGGGAGGAAGGAAGAGGGTTACGTTAAGGTGAGGCAGTTGACGGAGGAAGACGAGGAGCTTGATGCTGCTAGGGTTTCCCTTGGAGTTCTTGGAGTTATTAGTAAGGTACGTAATTTTTTATTTATTGATGGTTGTTGACTTGTTGTTACTTAGGTGATTTTGTTTTCTATATCGAATTGATGAATTTATTTCTTGTTATCTATGACATAATCGATTTGATATGAAATGGGATATCATTACCTGTTCCCCAGCTCACCACACGAATAAATGACGAGTGAACGCGAAAATCGGAATAGATAAATGAGTGAAAAAGTAAAGAGAAAATGATGATAAGTCGAATAAAAAGGTGGCTCTATGATGTAACTATAAAAAAAATAAGTGCATACTATATGTATCCAACTTTAAAAGTTGTTTTAAAACATCGAATTTTAATTGATCTCCTTGGTATAATATGGTGATATAACATATATAAAATCATAACTAATCGATTCATTATCCTAAACCCTAATCCTTCAGTTTTGAATCCTTACCCTAAACCCCAAATTGTAAATCATAAACCCTAACACTAAATTCCTAAACCCTAAATAATTCAAATCAAAGTGAATTTGAATTACTTTTGTGCAAATTCATGTGTTTTTTTGTCCATCATATCACAAGTGACAAATGATATCATTTTGACATGAATCGTCTGCTCATAATGACAATTATGATGCGAGTGCACATGATGCACTAAAAAAAATGAGTGTACTAAAGACAAAACCATGATTTTATTCAGTTTTTACTATAATTTATTTAATTTTTGCAAATGAGAAGTAAAAAAAAAAATAGAATCATTGTCGAACATACTAATACTATCCAAATTAGGTCTGATTAGAATGTTGAACGACTAGACCGACTAACATGATGTGAATCACATTCTTCTCCATCCCTAATTTTCTTTTACTCCGATGAAATGAAGAATTAACCACTTTGACTTGACTTAACAACATCCTTTCATGTTATTACACCTCAAACTTGACTTGATTATGTATATTTTCCAGTTGTATCATTACATTACTCAGCTCGACCATCCCAATTTGACATCTGCAGATAACTCTAAAAGTGGAGCCGTTGTTCAAGCGTTCAATCAGCTTCCGCAAGAGAAGCGACACAGATCTGGCGCACCGGGCAATTTCGTTTGGTCGGAAACACGAGTTCGCCGACATATCGTGGTACCCCTATCAACACAGAGCAGTTTACCGGAACGACGATCGGGTTCCTCTCGAAGTGCCCGGCGATGGCGCATACGACTTCTTCCCCATGCGCAGGGCCCTTTCTTCTTCTTCAATTTCCAGCAGAGCTACAGGTAAAGAATTAACCCCCCAAAAGAAGTTGATCGGTACTTTTTCACCATTCGCCAATAATGTGTCGCTGCAATTCTAGAGGAGAAGATCGAAGCCAAGGAGGATGCTGCAAAGAGGTGCGCTCTTGCAAAGGACGTCCTCCCCTTGTATTACAACTCCGCCTATGGATTCACCAACAACGGTACGTATTGTCGAGAATCAGTTGATTACATGTTTCTCTCAATAAAATTTAATTTATGAATTTGAACTTTGTACAAGTCGTTTACACCATATATTTTGTTTTAAGTTAATATTTTGGGTCGTGAAGATTTGAACATGTAAATTCAAGCATATAATCGTTCTTATACTATTCACTTATAAAGGGGCTTGCTATTGGCCGCCAAAAAAATTGCTATTTGCCGCCAACTAAAAAAAAAGTATATATGTACATCATTGGTTAAGAAGTTTCACAATCTACAACATATTCAACTTTCAGAAAACGTATTGAATCAGAAAAAATCGACGCTCGCCGGAAAACCACTGGGAAAGCCCATCCTCGACGTAAACTGCGGACACGCATCCATAAATCATCACTAAGCAGGCGCGTCAATTTTTTGTAGTTTCGAACAATTTTTCCGACGATTTTCAACGAACAGACGGTGGGCCGAAAATTTTTCCGACAAGTTTTTCAATTTTCCGGCAAGTTTTCCAGTTTTCCGGCGAAAAACACGGTGGCCCGAAAAAAATTTGCGGCCGGTGCGCCGCCGGGTCGAAAATATTTTGCGCCCGGTGCGCCGTCGGGCCGAAATTTTTTTACGCCCGGACGAAAATCTATTTCGGCCCGTCGTCGCCCCGGCCGCAATTTTTTTTCGGCCGGCCGGCGAACACGCCGCCGGAAAAATTTTGGCCGGCGTGTTCGGCGACCGGCCGAAAAAAAATTGCGGCCGCGGCGCCGCCGGGCCGAAAGAAATTTTCGGCTGGGCGTCGCACCGGCCGAAAATTTCTTCGGCTCGGCGGCGTTCCGGCCACAATTTTTTTTCGGGCCACCGTGTTTTTCCCCGGAAAACTGGAAAACTTACCGGAAAGGTATGAAAATTTACAAATGTTGTTTAAATTTTAGTAAAATGTTATTTATTTCAACATATGTCTTGTTTTTCACGATATTTGTTGAAATAGGCTAAAAATGTTATAAACAAACGCATCCATCACATGTTATTCTATTAAAATTGTACACAAGAAAAAGGATTACGTGAATCATTACTATATTCAATTTATGTCTAAACTTTAAGTCGAAGAATGCATTAGATTAGGGAGATCATGAGAGAAAAACATGGCGAAATATCTTAATTTTCTCATAAGTATATGACTATATACTACATAAATATTTTTTAGATCCGAACTCATACTAATAGTTGGAACACGGGTTGGGTCGGGTTCTACGGGTTGTGTAATCCAAAATCCAAACTCAACCCAAAAGAGACGGGTTGTACAAAAGAAAACCCTCACTCAACCCAAAACCTTCGTTTTAGCGATAAATACTGGTGGGTTGGTTCGGGTTGGACGGGTGGGTCGGTTTGCGGGTGTGTTTGTTCACCCCTAGTTAATGGTATCCGAATTTATAGAATGAAAGGAAGGGAAGGAAGGAAAAATTCAAAATTTGAAATCCATTTTTTTTAGTTGGCGGCAAATAGCAATTTGGTTGGCGGCAAATAGCCGTTCACTTTATAAATCAACTGGTTTCAATAATTAGAGTTTTTGAAAAAAATGTTAATTATGGATCTTATACCACTCTCTTACACTTATAACTATCGTGAGATGGAGTTGTTCAAACTATTAATAAATAGTATAAGATTTATGATTGAATTTCTCACAACCAAGCAAGTCAAAAGTGCAATTTCACGCAAAAGCATTTTTATGGGTGAGAAACAGAGCGCAAAGGGGCGCTCTAACCCTTAAATAATAATAGAACGCGGGGTCTGAACCCCAATAGAGTCAAAATACAACCAGTACCACAAGGTAGAACTCGGGTTGGTAATCAAATGCACTCCCACAGGTAGGGTGTGACCCACCGAAGCTAAATGGTCCCTTGTGAAATTTGCTTCTCTGAACACATGACCAAGCGAGACGACCCAATCTCGCGCCAGTAGTCGCCGAATGTCGACATTTTTGCGGTCTAGAAGCGTAAATGCGGAAACTTTCAAACTCAATTTAGACTACGTTATTAAGAGAAATGCGATTTTACGTAAAAACATTAGGGTAAACTAGAAATGTAAAAGCATAAACTTTCAAACTTCAAAACACATTTTTCACTAGATTACTCGCAACAATTCGAATTATTGAAATCAATAACTTTTTTTTTGTCATGATGCACAGGTAACAACTTTACAGGATACCCAATCATCGGGTACCACCACAAGCTCCAGGCCAGCGGGAGCTGCTTCTTCAGCCCAGAGGACAACCTCAAAACCAGCTGCTCGTGGGACCCGCGCATCGACGGCGCGTTCTTCCACCAGACCACATTCACCATCAGCCTTCCGCTGGTCGCCGGCTTCATCCGCGACGTCCAGAGGCTCGTCGCGAAAAACCCAAAGTCCGTCTGCGCCGTGGACGAGTACAACGGGATCCTGGTCCGGTTCCACAAGGGTTCGACCGCGTACCTGGGCAAGACCGAGGACGCGGTCGGGTTCGACTTCAGCTACTACCGGAGCCGGGACCCGCTGGCCCCGCGGCTGCACGAGGACGCCATGGAGGAGATCGAGCAGATGGCGCTGTTCAGGTACAATGCGACGCCGCATTGGGCGAAGAACCGGAGGGTGGCGTTCGAGGGAGTGATTTCAAAATACGGGGACGGAGGGGCGAGGTTTTTGCGGGTGAGGGAGGATTATGACCCGTTGGGCCTGTTTTCGAGCGAGTGGACGGATTATGTTCTTGGGCTTGGGGGAGATGGGCCGGGCCAATTGGGGAGTGGTTGCGCGCTGGATGGGCTGTGTGTTTGTCGGGAGGATTTGCATTGTGCGCCGGAGAAGGGGTATTTTTGTCGGCCGGGGAGAGTGTATAAGGCGGCTAGGGTTTGTAGGCGAGAAAAGAGAAGGGAGAGGAAGTGATTCATAATCCGACGAGATTGTAATTATTATATGTATTGTCTCCATCAATGAATTACACTGTAATGATGAAATTCGAGTTTTCATTCAAAACTCAACAAAGACGTATGAATCTTAACCTGGATTCACTTTTGAATGTGTACGTGGTTGTAGAGGTGTGCAAATGGTTCCGTATCGGATAGCACCAAACTAAATCGATGTTAAGACCGGACTTAGATCGAACCGAGTATAATGCGGTCTAGTCCTTGGTAATCATGAATTTTATAGTTACTGAAAAAATGATGGGCCGAATAGATATTTGGACCGGATCGGACTCTGGACCGAATACAAGGGTGGTCCTGTCTTTGGTCCTAAGATGTGTCCTTCACTGGTGGACCGCGATTCTCATTAGTTTGATACGATCCATACCGGACCGAACCAAACCGTTACGCACCCTACGTGGTTGAGCTCTTCAACACGATTCGTATGTGGTTTGGTTCCTTCCTGGCCCAACTCGGATTGGCCGCGCAAAAAGGGAAATAGACGAGAAAACAAAGACAATGAGAAAATGAGTCCGATTCTACGGAGGACGAAGATTCCTCCGACCTTCATTCCCCAACTTCTGAGATTCGCTAGCAGGTCAATCAAGTCCTTCAGATTCCCTGGCGAGCCTCTCGACTCTTCATCTATCACCTATGGCGTCCATGTCTTCCAGTGCCCGGTACCCTCTCCATCAACTTGCCTTCTTTTTCTATCGCGGCAGCAATTACATCTGCAGAATCCGACTTGAAATGGGTTATTGGGTTTTCCGCCGGTTTGCAGGATGCTCGTGGTATCGTCGCAAAGCTTTCGGATTGCATTGCTTCCAGAGGCGGGAACATACTCGGAGCTGACGTTTTCGTGCCGGAGAACAAAGAGGTTTTCTATTCCAGAAGGTAACCCCGATTTCATTTGAATTCGGATAGAACATTTCGGTTGTTGGGCTTGTTGGTTGAAGAATCTATGGGGTATTATCTCTTTGAAACGCAGTTTTGAGATATTATCTATGGATTGCATAGGTTTTTGTTATCTCTTCTATTTGGGTTTGTGAATTTGGATAGCTTGATTGGTAATATTGAAGCTTAAGAAATTGGCAGGTTCGATGAGGATGAGATTATAGGTATATGAAGCAAATGATGCTATTGTTTGTAGTTATTGGACAGAAAGCACATTTCTTTATCAAGCTTAGTATTTCCTATGGTCGTTATGATTGTCAAGAATGCATGTAATCTCGTGCAGTGAGTTCATTTTCGACCATGTTAAATGGCCGCGAGCACAGATGGAAGAGGATTTCATGGAGCTATCTAGATCGTTCAATGCAACGAGATCTGTTGTCCGGGTTCCCGATTTGGACCCCAAGTACAAAATTGCCATTCTTGCTTCAAAACAGGTAGTGTACTACTGTTTGTTATTGTTTTAACTAGTGTATGGGTGTACCCGTTATGATAAACCATTGTTTCTCACTTGTTGCAGGAACATTGTCTGACTGATATGCTGCATGGATGGCAGGATGGAAAACTTCCGGTCGACATAGTTTGTGTAATTAGGTTGAGTTTTGAGACCTTTATCCACTGTTAACAGGTTCTTTTGACTCGATACATGCTCATGTGTGTTCCTTGGCTTTCTGCAATAGTAACCATGAAAGAGCTCCAAATACACATGTGATTCGTTTCCTTGAAAGAAATGGGATCCCTTATCATTATTTGGACACAAGCACAGAGAATAAAAGGGAGGAGGAGATTCTGAAATTGGTCCAGAATACTGACTTCCTAGTACTTGCCAGGTACATGCAGGTAAATGAATTTGTGTGTGCCGTTTGTGTCTTTGTTTGGATCTATAAGGAATTTTTTTCTCTCTCTTCTGTGATACATTCGGGAAAATAAGTTCTCATACTCAGAATAACTGATTCCAGGTATTATCTGGTAAGTTTTTAAGGAGCTATGGGAAAGATGTAATTAATATTCACCATGGACTTCTGCCATCATTTAAAGGAGGATTCCCTTCTAAGCAGGTTGGTTTCAAAACTTCAACTCATTTCTGGTGAGAAATGAACCATTTTAAGAAACTTACTACTAGAACTCAGACACATAATTAATGTCTTTCATGTTCTCTGCAGGCTTTTGATGCAGGCGTGAAATTAATTGGTGCAACATCTCACTTTGTCACTGAAGAACTTGATTCAGGGCCTATTATTGAACAGATGGTATTAATGGCTGCTGAACTGTTTGTTAATACCATTTTACAACATGACCTTGAGCCTGTAAATGATATTCTACTAATATGTACGGATGCAGGTTGAGAGAGTCACACACAGAGATAATCTTCGAAGTTTCATTCAGAAATCAGAGAACCTGGAAAAACAATGCCTTGCCAAAGCTATAAAGTCTTATTGTGAACTGAGAGTGTTGCCTTATGAGCATAACAAGACTGTCGTCTTTTGAGGTAAAAAGAAGCCTGGATACTTGCAGTTAGAAGGTAGTTACTTTTGTCTGTACAATCAACTCACTCATTCAATGATCTACAGTGATAGATCAAACCAGTAGAAGCAACCGTGAACCACAATGTTGTACATCTTACGTTTATTCGACATGGGAAATTGATTTTAGAACTTCTGCAAATACATAATTTTGTGACCTTAGGAGTTTCTGTTGTTCGTTTCTCATTTAGTTTTGTGACCTTAGGAGTTTCTGTTGTTCGTTTCTCATTTGTTTGTCCGGAACTCGGTCCAAGAACAAATAAGACTAGGCTTGAGATGTCTAATGTATGCTCTAACCGTAAATTGTGTTGTAATTGTCTGGTTTTAGAATTTGAGTTGGGAAGAGTGTAGAGGAACAAAGAAACTAGAGGTAAATTTTACCAAAAGAGATTGCTTCCTTTCTGTTTTCCACATATCTCTGCAACATTTATTGACATGGTGAGTTGACTTCAGACCAGAGTACAAGTTCGGTTGTTGAGTTTCTCATGTACAAAACTGTGGCAGCTGAGACTAAATGCTGTCGTTTATGTTCAAGAACTCCAAAGATCTCTCAGTTGCTTCCATGCTATTGACTCGACGTAGCAGGGTTTGAATCCCATCGACCCATTTTTGCTTCTGAATCTTGCTCTTGCATTTGAACTCCAGAAGGCCTTGTGCAGTTTTGACTCCAAAGTAGAGCTCTTCGGAACTTTCCCTATCTTTTCTGTATGGCCATGCAGTCGTCTCGTCACAGACTCCATAGACAATCCCTGACATAACCCAGAATCAGAAGAAGAAACAGGGTCGGAGTTGGAACAACAAGAAGAAGAGGAGAGGAATGCTGAGATAGAATGACAGGGAGGGAGATACAGTAGTGAAAAGAAAGTTGCAGACCTTTTTGGTTCTTGGAGAAAGCTCCACCGACGTGTTTGCTTTTGATCTTGATTACAACCTGAGATTTCTTGTTGATGTGAACAGAGACCTTTTTCCACCTCAGTGCCCCTGGAAATGGTGTAATCCAGATGATATCAGGATTAACTGAGCACTCCTCTGTCTATAAACAAACTCAGAAGGAGCCGTGGAAGAAAAATGACACAAACCTTTTCTTGTGTGCTGCAAAAGATCTCCATCACAGGCTGGAGTCAGTTGCTGCTGGTCTTCCGACTGCGAAACCAAGCTTGAGGTGGAATCAACATCCGACATTGCCCGATCGTAAGGACTAATCGCCGCGTTTTTTCTTGCTTCCTTCGGCAATCTCGATTTCAGGGCCGCTTCTCCTCTTAAAGCTATAAGAACAACTAGAAAGTCACATACAAGTTCAAGAAGTGGATCGAAGAAAAGATGCACTATTGCACTTTCACAGTTATTGAAGTGCAAACCTCTGCTTCTAACATGGTTAAATTATACATAAACAATCACTAAACTTTGAGACTTCACTGATCAATTTGTTAAAATATGAAACTTCACTGATCAATTTGTTAGTCATCCCAGTGGGCATTTAAGTAATTAACCCGAGGATGTGTTTAGTACCTGTGGCAGCTCCAGCAGTGAGCGTAACAAGATCACCGGGACTCCGAATATCGACGGCCGATCTTACCACCGAGCCGACTCGCTCGTGATCAGCTCCGGCGGACTCAGCTAGCTCTATGCAGTACGAAGCCATTAGCTCCGTCGCAGAAGCTAAAGCCACACTCATCTTCGAGCCGCCGCCACCACCGGAATTTCCAGCTGCAGCCACGGCTGCCAACCCTGCTGCCAGCCCGGCCACCGATACCGCAGAGTGCATCCTCGCATTCTCCACTCTCGCCCTGTCTTTCTTCCTCACCGCCGCACTGCTGCTGCTTCCTCCACCGCCGGTACTCGTCTCCCTGCTGTGGTATTGGAACCATTTCCCAATCGTTCCCGTTCTCTTGGAGTGTGTTGAATTTAGCACCTTACCTGTCTGATAAAATGCCCCAAAGAAACAAAAAAGAGAAAAAAAGCCTATTCAACAGAAATCCTTCCATTTTGCTCAAAAGGGTAGTTTGACATGCAAATTTTGACCGAGAGAAGTTGGTCTAATGGACGAGAAGCTAGCTTACGAGTTGTGGAGTGACAGCGAGGGTGGTTTCAGCAGGGAGTGAGATCATGGGAGCATTGGGGAACATCTTCTGCTTCTGGGCAATAGCTTTCGAGATCTCTGAAGCAGAGAGGCTCCATGATCTGGATAGGAACTCCATGGGCTCGCTTGGGGTTTGTGGCTGAGGGATTGCAGCAGGAGGCATCAATGGAGCTTTTGGTTGATCCTGATCTTCTTCTTCCTCCAAGTATTCCATTAAAGGGCTCTTCTTCCAATCAGAAGGACGCAACCCACTATGCATCTTATGAAAAAGGAATCCACCCAGCAGAAGAAAGACAAAGGTACTGAGGAGAAATTGCTGTTTCGAGTCTTTTAACTGTTTGTCAAGTGCTTTTGGAGTTCAAGACAGGGTCTTTATATATATGCACAGAGAAAGTGGAGCAAGCAAGGAGCTGGGGATAGGCCAAAGAGGAGACAACCAGCATTTAAAAAATGGAGGGAGAATCCATGGAGAGGTTGGAAGCTTCACCTGAAATCAGGCAAGTAACATCACCCTATGAACTGTAGGCAAGACCAGAACTTTGGGAGACTCGAAAAAGAACAAAAGAAGAGGGGTAGATTAAGGAACAGGAGGACAAGATTATGCTAAATAAGAGGAGGGTTTGTTCCTTAATGTGCAGGCACATGAGCCCATTCCCCTAGAACACTACACGGGGGAAGAAATAGATTGGATTAGCTACTAACATGAATTAATTATGGCCACTGTTGCTTCGTTTGGACTGTTTCTAAAGTGGAGGAATGGTTGCTTATGATACTATTGTATTTGTTGGATTAGTATATGGGAGCGTTGGGAGGAGATGAACTGGTTTTTTTGCAGGATCTGATTTTGATTTCACATATAATAGAGTTGAAGGGCTGGGAAAGCGTGTGGGGGCGCAGGGCAGGAGGCGAAGGGGAGGGCCATAAGCGGCACCAGTCGGCCAATGGGGCATGTGCTAGCTTGGTATGGATGGTAGGGACGGTTTTAGGTTTAGGATTCTCTCTTTTCAATTTGCTTTTTGTTCCACCTTCGAAGTATTTCACAAAAAAATTTGAGGCGATCTCGATAAGTCGAAAACTAATTGAGGAATTTGTTTGTGAAATTACATTCTTCAAATTCATTTTGAACTAATATACTGATTTAGTACCAGATTTCTTATTTAATGTGATTTGAGGCGCAAATTAAAGAATGGGTGGATGGACCAGCTGTTGATGCAGGAGGCAGTCGAGTGCAAGGAGGGAGGACGAGGTACAAGATGTGACATGGATTTGCTCCTTTGATGGTGCAATGCAGAGTGGATCACACTCGACAGTCGATCTAGTTCTGTGAGGAGCGGATGAGCTCGTGTCGCGGGCATTTGGGTGGGGGTCCGAAGGGTAGGGTATGCGGTCGTCACTAACCCAATGTTGAAAAATTTATTGGCTCTGAGGGACGCCACACATTGGTGTCGAGGGGTGGAAATTAATGGAGTGTGTTTTGAGGGGATGCTCGGGTCGTCATTCAAAATGCAAACTCATGACTCATCTGAAGCTCAGGATAATTGGGGGGGGGGGGGGGGGTAGTGCTCCAGGAGGTTTAGGAGTTGTTCGTGGTCAAGATGGGAGGAATGGTGCAATTTGTTAGCAGGCAGAACAATATGATAGTCCATAAGGTGGCTTAAAAATAAATTACTTATAAATAATTTGAGAGGTTTCAAATGATTCATTTTTTTAGCAAACAAGTTATTTAACATCATATTACTCATACAAACCATCCTAAATATCATACATAATACAAATCTAGCACACTATCAAGCAATTACAACTAAAGAAGGGAGCTTTTTTAAAATAAAAATCGTGGGTGTATTTCTTTTCCAAATGATATCCCTCACTCTCTTTCACGTTATTCTTATTAGGCTTTTTACCTTTTTAGGGGCAAAATACACTTTCATAGCCATAACTATTTGCGTTGTGACAATAATAGCCACTTTTTGAAAAATACACTAATATAGCCACATTTTGAAAACTCAATTGACAAAGTTAGCCATTTCCGTTAAAAACTTTAACACCGTTAACAAAACGCTGATGTGGATGCCACCTCAGCACTTACACCAGCTCTATCGTACAAAAACATGCCACCTCACTGCCACATCATATTTAAATCAAAATAAAATATAAATTTTTCATAATATAATTTCTGTTTGCATTACATCTATGCCTCTCCTACACCGGCGCTGCTTAACCACCGCCGTCGCTCACGTCTCTTTTACTGAGACCCAATCCCCCCATCCCCTGACTCGCTGCCAAATACAAATCCGCCCGCAAGAGATTAAAGAAGTCTTCTCGTCGGACCAATTCCATCTAAAACTCCCACCACTACCCACCCACTGACCGCCAAACACAAAACCTAAAAGCAGAGAACATGGAGAAAACCGAGGCAAGCTAGAAGCAGAGATTCAGTCGCGAAATTTGACTAAGATTTGGGAAGGGCTGAGGTGTCCCAGAGACGATGAATCAGGCGATTGATTCCATCTTTTTTTTTATCAAAACCATAAGAGGCAGCGACAAAATAAGGGCATCCCAGAACAAGACCCAACCATCTGTCCTCCAAATCTCCAGATCTGGAGCTATTTGGTGGTGGGAGAACAAGGCTCAGTTGCATCATGTTACCGAGAGCGAAGAAGCAGATTGGTTTGTCCTCAGGAGGAAAGTCAAAGCCCTGAATATTGAGGAACTCGAGCTCTCAAACCATCTCCTTCTATCACAGGGGAGTCTGCGGCAGAGGACAGTGGCGTTGCGTAAGCGGAGAAGATGAAGAGAGATAGAGAGGGAGAGCCTTTTTCCATCTTCTTCTTTGTCTTTTCTTTGTAGAACTACAAAATCTAAGTTTGGAATTTGACTCCCAAAATTGGGAAGAAGGGACGGGTATTCAAAATCAATCGTGGAGATGGATTCCACTGAAGCCGGAGATGGATTCACGCCAGCGGTGGGTTGGGAGATCTAGATCGACAATGATTGACGCTAAAGATGCCCTTGTTCGCCTGGATCTACCGATACTCGAGGCGACGTCGCCGGCGGTGGATTGAGGGTCGACGCTAGGGCTGAACCAGAGTAAAACGACGGAGTCCATAGTGGATCAGGATCTGCCGACACTAGGTCGTCGGTGAATCTAGTGGCTGCAAGTTTGTGGGTTTTGTGGGTTTCAACAGGGGCAAATATGGTCGATGACGACGACGTACGGCTGGGGAAGGGGTTTAACGAGATGAGATGGGTCTCTGTTGCTTGATCGGAGATGTAGGGAGAAGAAGAAGAAAGGAAGGTAGATGAATCTGGAGAGAATGAGCTTTTGATTTTATTTTGTTTTCTATTTTGTTTTCTATTTTATTTTGCAGTTATTTTATTTTATTTTTGCCATGTTAGAAACACATTCCACCTGGACTGCCACGTAGCAAACATCCGTTTGTCCAGTCAGCAATCATGAGAAAACCGTTACTTTTATGGACGGAATGGCTATATCAGTGTATTTTTCAAAAAATGGCTATTATTGTCACAACACGAATAGTTATGGCTATTGAAATGTATTTTGCCCTTTTTAGGCTTTGCCTTTTGTAGTTCCACGCTTACCATCCTTAGTTGCCCATTTCGTTGCTTTACCTTTTGCCTTTAGTTTCTTACTTTCTTTATGTCAATCGAGTGTTTGTTAAGTACTAGTTATTAGAAATCTCTATATTAAGATATGATATTCGGTGGGTATGCAATCCAGCCACATTGTATTGTTTTGATTTGTTGGTAAATGTACTTTTCCATTGGTCTTTAATCTTTATCAAACAAATACACGTCAACCTCACCATTTATGGCCTCGAGCCCTCGACTAAAGGAGATGTGAAATGTGAAGAACTCATATGTATCAATAATTTGGAGAACAACTATTATTGCAAGTATGATACTAATAATATCGGTATGAAGTGATTGCATGTGTATCTTATTGAATGAATGGAATTCATCTCATTCCTTGTATGATGGACCTAGGTTGTAGGGTTCTGATACTGGTAAGGCACTACAAAAACCCCATAACAATTTGTGATACTTTTTTCTATTGTTGTCAAAAGGATCTACAATAAATAAGAAAAGCAATGACACCTAAATTAGACATTTCCATGCTTCATTTTTAAGTGTTATCATAGTCACTTCGATGTGATTATGTTTAAATATCAAGTATTTTAGTTTAGGATTGCTTCTATTACGAATATTGATAGGTGTTGACGATAAGTGTGAGGGTTTGGGCACAACCAAGGTCAAATGAGTGCAAGTGTAGAGGTATTAGGCAGGGACCAAGAGTGGAAGAATGAGAGATAGAAAAGTGGGAACATTTCATCAATTTTTGTGGGAGATTATTGGAGCAAAGAATTGAAGCCTCCCTTAAAAAGTCATATTCTCTTCCTCTCTTTATTTCTCTCTTCTCACCTTTGATGGGGTAAAAATCATGTGTACTTGGGGTTGGGCCAAGGAACCCTAACTATATGTAGTGGATTTAGGGGTTTTGGAGTCAAATTGTATGACTTCCCAGTTGTTATATGACTATTTGATTATGCTTAATTCAACTTGGTGTCCTGAATCGTGATTATGTGTTTTTTTTTTTTCACGTTGAGTGTAACATAGCTAAACTAATGGAAGAGATCAAAGAAGAGCTTGAATCACATTCCTGTGAATAAACTATTTTGATTAATCTGAAACAATTCTCCATTGCGAAAAGATATGATGCACCCAAATTCATAAAACGATCAGTAATACACTTCCATCAAATATTTTCTGGATTCTAGTACTAAACTTTCCCATCAACAGAGTAAAATTACAATACAACCCATCCAATAGTTACCTCTAACAATGAGTAAGCTCGATCGTACATGTATAGTACCACTAGAGATGTTGCTTTAGCATTTAGGGCAATGACAGATTGTGACTAAAACCTAAGAAACAAAAAGGACGAGGAGTCTCATTCCATGGAATTCATAATCGAGGAATTCAATCCTCACCTTTCAACTATTTGTCTGCCTTCAATTGGCTGTTGATTGTGTGCAGATTAATTCTTTGTTGCATGCCCTTTTCCGTGGAAGTTCATATCACTTCGGTCCGGTCACAATATTGCGCCTTCCTCCTCCCCTTCTTCGTCTTAATTAGTGGCTTTCGCTCTCCAATTGCACAGCCTTTCGTTTTCAGGGCAACTCTCCCCATGGCCATGTTTTGTGGGTAATTAGGGCGGTCTTGATGTTACATCCCAACTACAATCACATGCATGCTCTCATAAAACATCACTTTAGATGTCATCATTTCAAGAACCATATCATGTTCTTGGTGGGTCAAAGGAATTAATACGCCTAATACTAAGTTGAATCCTGACTTCAAACGAATATGATGTACTCAATCAATAAAATTTTCACTTGTAAACTAACAGAACCGGAAATTATTGGAAACCGGAACTCGAATTAGGCAATTGTTCAAAACCGAAAAATTGAAACCTCTAGGACGTTATTTGTTTTCGGACACCTTTCAACCATCATATTTTTCTTCCTTATATTTTATAGTTTGGCCTGCAAAGCTCTTGTATATTGTCGTATGTATATTGTTTCCCTGGGAAAAAAAAAATGGAGTTGGCATAGAGGCCAACCGACAGACCCAGGCAGTTTTCATGCTGATATCACATTTCCAAAATTTCCTACAATCAACGATTGGCCCTATCAATAGTAAGGCTGACTTTATTTAGCCTCTCGTGCCCTCTCCACATAATGTCGTACGATGGATACAATAATGTACTCAATAAAAAACAAATTGATCCTATAATTATAAGATTGACAGATTTTATTTGAATCAATTCTTTTTATTATTTGGTAAGGTAATAGTCTATATCAAGTTTCATATTTTTCGTTGAATTTTCCTTTCCCTTGGCTTTTCCTTCTCTAATAAAGACGTACAGTGGGGTCTTAATTTTTGTTGTATATTCGGTTAGTAGTTCAATTCCTTATCTCTTCACGAAGAATATGGCTATCAGCTTACTCTAGTTCAGAACTATGATCACCACACACTTATGTAGGATGACCTAACAACATGATTTGACGAAGCCAGTCTGTAGTTTTGGGTTTATGTCCCTAAGGTGGGTGCTGATTTTTTTTTGTTTTTGCATTATCACATGTTCAGAAATCAAAATTAAGAAGTATGAATATATCATAAAAATACTCATGACGGCGACTTACCGCTAATAATATGTAAGAATATTATGAGTAATTACGATAAATTATTATATAGTATGTGAAACAACTAATAAATTATGCAAATAGCAGTAAGAAATGCACTCTTTATGTGATTGTAAGTTGGTTTGGTTTACGATAGCATTAGGGGCTCGTTTTTAGAAATCTTATCAAACTGATAATGACAATGCATGATTATGAGATTTCTTTTAGGTATAGAGGAATTATAAGTTGATAAAATATTTTTTGAAACTATCTATTATAGGTTATAGCATACTTAACCAAGATGTCTTTTCTAATTCTAACCTTATCTACACGGTTTGTATATATATATATATGGACATTTGAGTCATTTGTAAATTAAATACATTTTGATCAGGGTAGCAGAAGGCAAAGCTTATTCTATCTCCTCTTTGTCAATGATCTTAACATAGCGAAGTGACCTTCATAATCAAATCCCGTCGAGCCCATAGAATCGGTCGCCTGAAGAAAACAGAGCCTACAGTTTCTATCTTATATCTTCATAAAAGATATGTGTAAAACTCCTCTTCACTGCATCTTAATAAAAAAATCATCAACAACGACACTACAAATACAAGATCGTATACAATTCAACATCGAATATCCATACCAGATCTGACTATTACAAACATTCCAACTCAAGATCTGCGAGAAAAGGTGAGGAGGAAAAGCTCTCATGAGTGCCGTGGCATGGAGGAAAAGGTGGTGGCCGGTCAAACGAAAACTCAAAGAGAGAGCTTAATGATGCACAACTCGTGGCTTCTTTTCCTCTCTTCAGTTCAGCAGCCGCTTGCTTCCCATTTGACTATTAGTAGTAGTTTAGAGACTTAATTAGAGTAGTTGCTGTTAATTGAAGGAATCATTGTATGGGGGGGAAAAGTGTGCAACAAAAGCAACAAGTGTAATAATTCTGTCCTCCCCACAAGCTCTCCGGCTGAATCATTGCTCTCACATGGCAACAAAGAGCAAATTAACTACTCATATAATTTGCCCTAAATCAAGTGCACCACAAAAAAAAATTATTTTTTAGTGACATGATACAGGGTTTTATGTGTCTTTGTTGGAATGAGTAACTTATTAAACTATATATGTAGCTTAAAAAAATTACTAATTCTTATTCTAAATGAGAATTTATGTCGTTTAGATGATTGTTTTTGAAGTGTGAATTTCTGATGATCAGATTATCGATGATTAATGTTAATAGAACATAAACTATCCATTCAATCTCATTTCACCGGACAGTAGGACCTTGTTTTTGTGATTACCCAACATCAGGAAAAAGAGGTAAGAGTAAATTAAAGATCAAACCATTTCATATTTGAAACCAAGATAGTACAATTACGAACCCAGAAACAATTTACACTTCCTTATTCAAACAACCACGGGCTCATTCTCCTTCCCACTTTGGCCCATACACAAACACAGGCCCAAACCCAAAAAGCAACAACAAAAGCCCCAAACACGTTACATGCCAAAGCGAAAGCCCAAAATACACCATCTCCCTTTAAGCATAGCTGTCGGAAGTGGCGACTGGAGTGTGGCAACCAATGAAGATGTCTCCGTAGATAAGCCCAGCCAATCCACCTCCGATGAGCGGGCCGGCCCAGTAAACCCAGTTTCCAGCGAAGTTTCCGGCGACCACAGCTGGGCCGAAGGACCTGGCCGGGTTCATGGATCCACCGCTGAATGGGCCGGCGGCCAGGATGTTGGCGCCCACGACGAACCCAATTGCGATGGGCGCAATGGTCCCGAGGGATCCTTTCTTCGGGTCCGCGGCCGTGGCGTAGACCGTGTACACGAGCCCAAAGGTGATCACGATCTCCATCACCAGTCCTTGGAGTTCATTCATCCCTGCTGCAACTCCGTGGGTTGGGACGCTCTGTTCGAATCCACACCAGAAACAAATTCTTTTGTCAGCTCTTAAGTCTTAAGTCAAATGTTAATGAAAAGTTCAATTTGTATTGGGTACGAAATTTTCTAATCATGTTTAGTTTGTTTAAAAATCGATTTAGTGAACTTTTAGTTTTAATTAAACCGTAATCAAGTTGTGTTAGAACATTTGTGACTTCTTCACTTTGGATTTTAGGTGTATAAATTAAAAATTACCATGCCACCAGAGACGATGTGGAGGAGGAGGCAGGCGACGGTGGAGCCAAGGCATTGGGCAATCCAGTAGAAGAAGCCAGTTAGGATGGTGATGTTGCCGCCGATGGCCAATCCGAAGGTGACAGCTGGGTTCAAGTGGCCACCTGAGATGTTTGCTGCAACGGAAACTCCTACAAACAGGGCAAAGGCATGTGCCACGGCGACGGCAACCAAGCCAGCTGGGTCTAGTGCTGCGTCGGGAGCAAGCTTGCCTGTCAATCAAAAATTTAGTCAACAATCGTAACCCTTATTAAATCACCATTAACATCCAAGTTTTGAATCCTGATAATTTTCATACCTCAAAACTTTAACTTCATGTAAGAGGTTCAAGATTGAATCATATTTTCAATTTCTCGTGATTTCAAGTAGGATTTCATATTATAAAGAAGCTCTATATCTCCATATGTCAAGCATGAATTATGTAATATCATTTCATTGCACTCTTCCATCGAACCAAAAACGACCCACATTAGGCTTGATGTTTATAAAGGTTTAACATGCCTTACGGTTAGTCAATATGCTTTAAGTTACCCGAAAAAATGGAATACACGTGACTTTTCTGTTATCAAAGTCATAACTACCATATGAAATAGGCGACAATACTTCGTTCCAATGATTCATACATGTCAACAAGTAGAGAACTAAATCTCGTATTATTTTCATAACCCGAGATGTGGAGAGAAATATTAGTTGGAGACTTACTGAAAGCGATGGCAGAACCAACACCAGCGAAAACAAAGAGGAGGGTAGCAATGAACTCAGAGAGGTAGGCCTTGATGGAGCCAACACTGAAGGAGTCTCCAAGGCTTCCAAAAGCTATCTTCACCATTTTCCCTCTTTCTCAAAGCTATTCACTTGGGCTTCTAGGCCTTTTTGTTTTTTTGGTGTTGCTAAAACTCTCTTAGCAATTGCTTTCTCGCTTTTGGGTTTGATGGAATTCTTCTTCCATCGGATGAAGGTATTTATATTTGCACATAAGGGGGAAGAGACGGCAAAGCGAGCTAGTAGTGGTTGCAGTATTAGTTGGCTTTTTTAGGCAGAAAAAAAAAAACGACGGTGAGAGCATCACGGCCGGCCACGGTCACCGGCCAAGGGACCCACTCTTAGTGCTAATAGTGCTCTCCGCGGTCTATGATTGGCCGCCGACCAACCGCCTTTTGGGATTAATAATCAGGCTAATGATCAATTATGAGCATTATGACAAAGCTCCTAACCAAACCTCTTTGTTAATAATGATAATGTATTTATGTCGGATATGAATTTTATTAATCAATTTCGTTGGCTGCCAAACCTATGGGAATGAGGCTTGGTCGTTTTTGTTGTTTTTATATAGCTAAGTATTTTTCTATCATATCACTATTGGATATAAGTAATCTTGCATAAATTATAACGGCATCATTTTGCAATTCGAATGTTTAACGAAAACTTTTACAATATCTTGATATCAAGTGAGTAGTTGAGCTTTTAGTCTAGGTGTGTTAGGTTGGAGCCTCAATGATTCTTTGTTTGATCTTTGTCGTGTCTTGCGACCCTATGATTTAACTGCAGTTGTTTTGACATAAAAAAAAATCGTAGTTGTAGCTATTAACTCTTATATTGAAAAACAAAACACTATTATTGGATTGAAATATGACCCATCTATCTTATGAGGTTACTAGTTTATACTTCCATTAAATTTTCTCATATTCGTTGTTTATTAGCAAGGGATAAAAGCTAGATAATAATAAAGCTATAGATAATTGGATAATACCCCTTCGACCGGAGGGTGCTTGAGGTGACACCGTTGTCATATCGATCTCATCCTTCCCTAATCCCTTGGGAGTTGAGACTAACTAATGGAAAGTATGGTCGAATGACTAACTCAATCTATATACTTAATAAGTTAGAACATACATAATATCCATATAAGATACTCGCTTACATACATTAGTGAAGATGTGAATAATAATTACTCGACTTAAACTAGCTTATATGATGTTCCATCTTGTATGATGCATCTTTTAATAGTATACAATATTTTACTGATTATTTATGTGACAACTTAATTGTTATTCTAAGTATTTCAAACAGAAAAACCAATGTTGTCGGAACCGAACCGGAGCATGACCTGGCAATGCGAACGGCTCGCACTTTAGTGGTCCAGCCGACATTAGACCGTTTAAAAATCGTTAGAGAACCGGTACCTAGTAAACGTTATCAGTATATATAGTGGACATTTCTTAATCAGAGCTCGTCTCTTTCCTTTGAAATTGTGAAATGGAAATAAGGATTCAGTTTGAAAGCCCGACATTTTTGGTTTATTTCTATTTTCTGCAATTTTTTTAATTAAATTGAATGGCTGAATGGCAAAAACCGTACGAGCGCCTCAATCGGCTCGAGCGGTTAACCGCCTCGGCCGCTCGTCAACCGCTACATAAAACCGGAGCGACTTTTAGACTGTTCCGAGCCGCTTTTGTGACTGGGTGGCGGTTTTACCGGTCGGGCCGAGCGGCTCGGCTCGACTCGACTTTAATAACACTGAGAAAAACACTCAGCAATGATGTGTACTCGTGCTTAATTAACTATAGATTATAAGAAAATGAGAAACCAAGAAAAAGAATTGTCGTGATAATTAAGTACTTATCCTAATTAGGTTGAGGAAGTTAGAGGATTAGTATAAAAGGGTTAGGTTCAACTGAAGAGTGTTTGATATATATTTAGCTAGAAGGCTCCGGCTGCTTAAGTCGCCACTAATTGCTAATTGTTCAATGAATTGATGCATGCATGAGCTGGCAATCCCACCTTCTTCCCATATAATATAAGCTATCATTACCAAAACAAAGAGGGTTATAGGTATAATATGTCCTTCTATTATTACGTTTTATCAAACATGCCCATCTATTATTTTTTACATCAAATATGTCCCTGTACTTTGAAAAAATTATCAAACATGCCTTTTTGTTACAATTTCCATTGAAAAAATCGTCAACCATGGTTGAATTGAGATTTAGACGACCCGACATCGGCAAATGGGAGGGAAAATGTCATTTTTGTATCCTGTTTTATTTCTCTGGGTCTTTTCAAAGTGAAATTATTTGAATGATTTGATTATACAAAAGAACCAAAAAAATTCTAAAGTGAATTTATTAGGGATATTTTAGTCATTTGTGTCGCCCAAACTAAAATTCGGCCTTGGTTAACGGTTTTTGGATGAAAATTTTAACAAAAGGCATGTTTGATCATTTTTACAAAGTACAGGGGCATGTTTGATGTAAAAAATAGTAGAGGGGCATGTTTGATAAAACATCATAGTAATGGGGCATATTATACCTATAACAGGAAAATTGTTGTAGTTTTGTATATATATACCCCAAATATATAACAGAAGAGGAGGATTCAGTAGTCGACGCACATCTCTTGTATTAGTGATAAACTTGAGATTATTAAAGTTCCTAATGCTAAATGATAACAGAACTTTGGATGATAATCTATTTTAAGGCTTCATTAATGGTCGGACAGAGACCTTATTCATGGTGGAAAGAGACTTACCATAATGGTCCTTCCCTTTTGCCTTCCTTTTTTCTTGCATAAAGTTCAACAATGGCTTTTAATATGGCAGCCACCTCCACAGCAATCTAACATCTGTATTCCAATCCCAAGCTCCCTTGGAAAGTTAGCCAATTATTTTTTAGCGGAAATGTTAAAACCCTGAAAATCTTTTGCACATTTCATTCGCCATAGTGAATCGAAATACATGCGTCAATTTGGGATCTTGATTATATTTATAATCCTAATCCATTTCAATAATCTGAAATCTTCAAAAAGAAAGATAAAAAATGGATCTTATAACAAACTTAATTCAACTATTGCATCTAATGTAATCATAAATTTAAGATTCTTATACAAATTTTTATGTTGATAAGGTGCCTACTGTCATAAACCAGTTGGTCCCAATAACTCGAGTTGTTGGGAGAAGCTTATGCTGGATCTTATACAGGCCCGTGTATGGTGCTTAACCACTTCCTTACACGCCCCCTCAAACGAAAGCCGACTCATGGGCTTGAAGTTTGCACAGGCCCGCCATACCATGTGCTTGAAAGACAACGGTTAATATTGGGGGTTGTGAGGACTTGAACACGTGACCTCACGGACAACCATTTCTGATACCATGTCATGAACCAATTGCTCCCAATAACTCGAGTTGTTGGGAGAAGCTTATGCTGGATCTTATACAGGCCCGTGTATGATACTTAACCACTTCCTTACACCTACTACCAAAGTGCAGACTTCATACTAGCAGCTAGCAATGTGAAGAGGGCTAATTATGTTGGGCTATCTCAGCGGGAAGTCATTTGGGCTTGGGCTTAATCCAAGCCCCAAATATATTCATTCACAAAAGTCCAAACAATCTGTGAATGAGTGGCTTATGGATTATCCTGTGCTAATTAGAGTCTTGTTGCACTTAATAAGAAGTTTTGCCATCCTTGTGAAGCCTTTTGACTCTAGTTTGATCGAATTAGTTAGTTAACTTGTTATATAATCTGCTGCTTTTACATTCTCGACCCTGCCATTCACCCAATCCACGACTCAGTCTCCAACAGACACCATGAACTTGAAGGACCAGACACATCAGTTAATACTTTAACAGTAAAAAAAATTCAAATTATATAAAAACTACAGTACATATGTAATAAAACATTTACCAAATATGTCTGCAGTGTCCATTAATGCGAAGGGTAAAAGGGCAGAACAGCTTTATCCTGTCTTTGGATACTCATTTGTTCTGCCCAATACTGCTTATCTATTATACATAGATGCATAGTTCAGGCTACTGAATATTGCCTCTGGTGGCAGCTGCTTCACCAGCTCTCCACCGCCTTCATTCTTCAAGGCTTTTGTATATTTGCTGTTGCTGTTAATTATTGTCCCTGTACTATCGTAAACATCGAGGAGAACTACTTTTTTTTACGAAAGAGAGTCTCGCATTGCACTATGAATGATCGGTTACCGTTGAAACAAATAAAATAGACTGAAATCAAACAAGTGTTTAGATATAGGGTTTAGACATAATGCTGGAAGAGGTGGCTTGCTTGCATTTATGTATGTTTGTAATGGAATGAGTTTAATCCCGCTATTTAGTAGACTTCCAGCCGAATATGGATTGGTCTTGTGGTTTTACCGTTGGTTTTCAATCTAGAGATCACATATTTTAATTTTAGGATGGACTTTCCTCTTTTCGTACAATGTAAGAAAAAAGGTGATATCTAGCTAGGCATGATTTGGAGAGCTAATCATCTCTAGTTCATATTTTGTTTCGAATCTTATTTATAAAGTTTATGTGTTCGAGATAAAATATTTGTCTAATTTCATGAATAACGTATATTTTACTGTCCATTTTTTCCCTTCTCAATTTTAGTCTCTTTATTTGATTTTTTTTAAAATTATAGTTTCATGTTTCCCAAGTTCTCATTTTTTCTAACCAAATTATCATGATAAAATTTACTTACTTAATTGTTAAAATGGATCACATCTTGCTGACTGAATCATGATTAAGCAGCTAAACCTAATTTTCCTAAAATTACACCATTACCTTCCTTATTCCAATTTATTTTTTGTTCAAGAGATAAGAACTTAATAAATCCTTTCTCAACAACTTGAGTTATTTGGACTAAGTAGGGGCGGAAGTAGGGTATAGTAGGATGGGTCTCGAGACCTAACTTAGTTCAGTAGAAAAATAAGTAAAAGGTATAATAGTTGATTGATAATCAGAATCAGAGTGTGCAGAATTGCGAAAGTTGCCCTTACGAATACTTTATGTATGATTTACAACTTGTTTATTGACATATTCAAAAAATTTGTAAAGAATTATGTACAAATGAAAATTGTACATATGATGAGTGAACCCTAGATCTTACTTATCTAAATCGTAGACTTCAAACCCCAAAATGGTACGTGTAATTTGTTGCTATATTTTGAGGAATCATGGTCATTGATGGTTGTTTTCAATCAAATTGATCTTAGTGTATGAGATTTATAGATTTTAAGACTTCTATTTTAATTTTTTAGGATTAGGGTACAATATCATGTCCCAAATTCCGACCAATTCAAGGTATAGATATCATTTTTTACTCAAGGTATACTATATCTTTGATTTTACTCGAGATGGACCCACCTTAGACGAAATCTTGGCTACGCCCCTAGCACAAAGTGGTGTGTTCATTAATATGTTAATAGAGGTCATAGTTTCGAATTCTTAAGAGGACCCCAATCTATAACAACGATTTTAGTACAAGAGATGACATGTTCAATCTATACAAACTAAAAATCTAACGGCTTAACACAATATGTTCAACCTCTGCAAACTGAAAACCCACAAGTAAAGTTTCCTTTGAGAAAGTGTGCAAGAGATAAAATTTTAACAAACCATTTCCCAATAACTCGATTTACTGCGATTAAAGTAATGTGTTGCTTAACATTCTTGGCCAACCTTATTCACAGCGGTCCTCTGGTCCTGTGTACAGAGAGACGATCAGACCAAGGCTGCAGACTCTTGAGAGTGGAGGAAGAAAGGTAGAAGAATCAGGACCAAACTGAAATAAATTATCCTGACTCCACCCCCAACAACTCAAAGCAACCACATTCAATTCCCTCCATCTCCACCCTCTTCCTCCTCTCTCTCTCTCTACCTATCTATCTTAACAGTTGCAGACTCTATAAGGAATCCTTCCCCACACCAAATGATAGAACGATGTTATTGTCTTCATGGACCCATAATTGTCCTTCCTGGTAAGTGTTGCATTGCAACTGCTAGCTCAATTATTCTACTTCCATGGTTTAAAGTTTAAACTCGACAATTCCCCAAACTTAAATTCCCTCTCTCTCTCTCTCTCTCTCCTCTGTTTCTCTCTGTTTTCCTGTTCCAATTCTCTCACCATTGCATATGTTTCAAAGGTTGTCCTTTTATCATGATTTCCACCTCCCCACGCCGTCCTGCGTAGTGGGTTCAGGTGATTTTATTTGTTAATGTATGATGGATGGAGTAATTTGCTCTGATGCAAAGATGGACACCACCGTCGCCAGCACGACTGCAAGCACTTGGCGGCCGCCGCAAGTCGATGGCGGTCATAACCAACTTCACCACAGGCGCTCTAGGAGGTGGGTTTCTAATGACAGTGGGAGAATTTTGAACATAACCCTCTGCTTCTTTTTTTCTTCTTCTCTTTGTTGAGATACTACTCTGTTTTTATATGCTCTGCAAATTTTGACAGTGCCTCTGAGAAGAACGTGGAAGTACAGAGAATTCTGCAATCCAAGTTGAAGAACAAGGATCACCAAACCGAAATGCAAGTGAGACTATACGAAGCTTCTCTCTCATTCCATGCCCAAGTTCTTGCCAAAAAAAAAAAAAAAAATTCTATAAAGAAAAACTTTATGTTCCTATTGAATAATCACAAGTAGTATGAACAGATGATGTCATCATCACCAGCATGTGCAAGAAGGAGCCATGTGGCCGTGCAAAGCCCTCTGCGTGAATTCTCTAGCAGAAATGACCCTTCAAACCACAGAGCCTCCCTAGAAAAAGATGTGAGTTATTTGATTAAGAAAAATTACTGCTGTGTAAAGCTGTAGCACTGCAGTTATGTAATTGGGCAAAACTGGTTGGTTTGCATTAGGTTGAGCTGCTACAATTAAGGCTGCAAGAAGAAAGATCAATGCGTTTGATGCTTGAACGAGCCATGGGCCGTGCTTCCAGTACTTTGTCCCCTGGTCACAGGCATTTTGCTTCTCAGGTATTGTACCATACAAAAAAAAAAAAAAATCTCGTGTTCGAACTTGGTAACCTCGAGTTAGCATCTACCAAATCGTCACAGAAATTCAATATTTTTTCAGACGAAGGAGTTGATTGCGGAGATCGAGTTGCTAGAACAAGAGGTAACAAACCGCGAACAGCACGTGCTAACGTTGTACAGAACCATATTCGATCAGTGTGTGACTAGTACTAGTAGGGCGACTTCACAGCAAAGCTCCAATGTGGCTTCTCCTTCCCATCCTCCTCCTCCTGCTCCTGCAAAGCATTTGTCATCTCCATCGTCCAATCATAATAAGAAACATCCAAGGATCATCTCAAGTGCTTTCTGTTCTTCCAAGTTGCTCCCTTTGAGACCTCTGCAGTCACTTGTTTCCATCAATGGTGGCGGTGAATCGGGGAAGAGACCATCAAGTAGGGCAAATGTTGGTGCTAGTACGTTGTTTGGTAGGAAAGACAATCGGCTGCACAAGTCCTGCTCCAGCCAAGTTAAGGTAAATTTGTGGTTTCTCTCATCATTGCTACATATTGATTGATCATTTATGCAATTGAATGCTTACTTTCTCTCTTTGCAGGTTCATCAAAGGGGTGCAGCATCAACACTAGTGGAAAGATCAGCATCAATTCAGCAGAAGACTCTGAAGGATCATCTCGACCAATGTCCAAGCAAGCTGTCCGAGGAGATGGTGAAGTGCATGGCTGCAGTGTACTGCTGGCTCTGCAGCAGCTCGACGCCAGCTGGCGCGAACCCATCTGTCAAAGGCAGGTCGCCTCTGTTGTCGAGGTCGTCCACCAATGTCGTGCTTCCAAGGCGAGGAAACAACGTTGTTAACGGAGAGCAGATCAGCCAAGAGGAAGAAGATTGGTCGTGCAAATCGACTGTGGAAGTTTGTTGGATCTCGACTGATAAAAGCCGCTACTCGTGTGCATCCTATGCCATTGACCACTACAGGTGTGTTGAGAAGTTACTATTTGCCTTACTTAATTTCCATGTGTACAAAAATTTCAAGCTCTTTGCCACCATTTCTCAGGGTTCTAGTGGAACAGCTGGAAACAGTGACAGTAACCCAGATGGGACACGATGCTCAAGTTGCATTCTGGATCAACGTCTACAATTCCCTTGTGATGCATGTAAATATTCAAAGCCTACAAGATATATGGTCCTTTTTGTTTGTTTAGAAAGTTAAAAAGTTTTACTCTTTGGCTTGGTGCAGGCATATTTGGCCTATGGCATCCCCCACAGCTCCCTGAGGAGGTTAGCTCTGTTTCACAAGGTACTTCTTACTTTGCCTTATGCCATTGGTCTTGAATCTCATTTTGTTGAACTGCCATGGCAATATATGACATTATGGGAAGAAATTAAAGTGAGAGGGCTTGTGTTTTGTGTATAGTGCAGGCTGCTTACAACATAGGTGGCCACATCATAAGCGCAAATTCCATTGAGCACTCCATCTTCTGCTTCCGGACACCTCGTGTTGGGAAGGTAATAGCATTGTCTACACAAAGCCAGCAGCTTTATATACCCTGTTAGGCAACAAAACTGGTTTCATTCTGTTATCAAGTTATAGTTAGGATTAGGTTGTCAGTTTGGTTTGGTTAACCAAACCATTTTGAGTATGAAAACCAATAACCAAATCAGTCAAATTCTCGAAAACGAAAAACTGTTAAGGGCGTTATCGGTTATTGGTTAACTGAAAACCGATAAATCCCCTAATGATTCTGGTTTGGTTAAACCATAAATCAAATCTTTAGTTTTGAAAGTCCAAAAATGGAGTCGGAAAATACAACAAGAAGCACAGAGATCGGAAAGAAGTCTACTACACATAAGTTGTTGATAATGCATGTTGTTGACGGGAATTGACTTAGTTAGAATGTTATTGGTTTCTCGGTTTCAACATAAGACAAACCATTAAGATACTAAACACTTATAAAACCGAAAACCAAAATAATTAAATGTGTCCTATCGATTTGGTTTCGATTAAAACCGAAAAAACAAAAACTAACAAGACTAGTTAGGATAGGGCAAACCGATAGAGAACTGGTTTTGACACACTATTGGGAAATCGATCATGAGTTATTACATGTGTTTACTACTTTACTCTGATGAACACCCGTTACAATCCAGTGGCTTGAGACCATTCTCTCGACGGCGCTGCGGAAGAAATCAAGCGAAGAAAGGCAGCTCCTTTCTTCCAAATTCGGCCTCTCAATTCCTCTGCCGCTAGCCTGCTTCGCCCTCTGCACCGGCACATTCTCCGACCCCGTGGTAATTACTTGCACCGTCTAGTCTTCCTTTCTCACCCTTCAGAAATCGCTTGCAGTTCTAATTAGTTACTTATGAACTGCTATCTTCCAAAATCAATGCTCCAGCTGAAGGTGTACACGTCATCCAACGTCAAAGAAGAGCTGGAAGCTGCAAAGAAGGAGTTCCTGCAATCGAACGTCGTGGTGAAGAAGTCGAAGAAGGTGTTCCTCCCGAAACTGCTCGAGCGGTTCGCGAAGGAAGCTTCGATGACGATGAGCTCCGACGACGACGACGATCTGATCAAGTGGGTGGTGAAAAATGTCGACAAGAAGCTCGGAGATTCGATTGAGAAGTGCGCCGGTGACCGAAAATTGGGGAAGAAGCAGGCGTCGAAGGTCGTAGTAGTGGAGTGGTTGCCTTATAGTTCTAGATTCAGGTACGTGTTCTCCAAAGACTTGACTGAAAAGCCATGGTGGGTATGAGAACAAATTTTTTTTTTGGTAAAGGGGTATGAGAACAAATTAAACAAGAAAGATTGGAGACTTGTTACTCTGTACATATGCAATGTCATCCTCTTTCTCCCAACGTTGAATCTTAGAGTTTCATCTTGTGGTTTAGATATGCGCACGGACGGTCGATCGCCGAGCACAAATTTGCATTCTTTCGAAATTTGTCGAAATCATAAAATGGCATGTCTGGAACAACAAATGATGTTCTTTGGTGATGAAGATGGATGTAATTTTGAAGATCTTGAAAAGTTATGCAAAATAATAATTTTCTGTTAGATCGGATAATTGAGCGCAAACTTATCGTCGTTTGAAGTATATTTAGCTGCAGTGTCCAGCGTTTTTTTGGACATGATCACTGGAGTCAACAATGATCTGGATGGATCACTTTCATTTGCCTCGGTCTAGTCTGGTTCGAGAATGATTCGATTTTGTTGGGAACAATCGAAAATGGGTCTCTCTCGTCTCAACAAACCAGTACTTGGATCGTTGGGTACAATGCAGTGAACCACGTCAAACTCTAGTATTTTAGAGAATTTTAGTGCTAGTTTGGTATTGTGCGTATTTTAGCTGCCGTTTGAGACAAAAATATGGTTGTCACTCTACACTCTAGTGGAATGTCGACCGGTTGAACGAACTAGGTTCAACTGATACCGGCCATGAAACAAATTAACAAACTTAAATACCACTAGTATGACTGAGACGGTCGATTTTCGGCCTATAAACAAAATAACGTCGTTTTAGCTAATTTAATTCATAAAAAATAATTTTTGAACTATTTCATGAATTTAAAAGTTAAATGACGTCAATGTAATTTGTTTGATTCAAATATAAAAATTTGGGTGTCTCACGTTAATTTTTGTATTAAAATATGAGTTTTTGTAATATATGGTATCCGTCTTTATTACAATATATCATCCTCCAATAATATATGGTAGAGTTTTGTGTACTTTTTTATATTTCAAATTTCCTGCAATGAGAGTAAAAGTAGGAAGGACATTTTTGTCTTTACACTTAATTATGTATTTCATATAAAAATATCATTTGAACCCAAGTCTCTTTAAACAAAGACAACAATTATAACCAATTGCACTAAACAAATTTGTTGAACCTTTTTTAATACAAAACATATACAAAGTTAAACTCTGAAAACGGGAGGACTTTTATATCATGATTAGCATGCCCACTAAGTCTACCGTGCGTAATTTTATTGTACTTTATACTTCGGTTTTCATAGTAGAGTTTCAAGTAATTTTCTCTATTTTATAATTCTTGCTCTCTCCTTAAGTTTCTCTAAAGGTAAATTGGTAATTGGCTAACACGGAAAAATTATTTCTTTTACTACGTGTTATGTCCTTCCATTTTTCAATTTAAATTTAAATTTTTGTGCTTCTTTATCCTTTTTTTTATCTCTTTCTAACTCCCTCTGAAATTCCATCCATCTTGCAATAGTTTGCGCCCCTTTCACTTCCCAGTACAAGACAACCTTTGAAAATTAATCTTCCGGTATCTATTGGCACTGCGTACGATTTTATTGTTGGTGATTTAATTTGGAAAGTAGAAGATTTCAACTCTAATATCAATCCATGGCGAATAGAATGGAGTTCAATCAAGCAGTTATGGTCTTGTGTTAATTATCTCGCTCGATTCCTCTACACTGGCATCACCCAATGGTTCTGTCTCTCCTCGATGAACTACCAGAAGAACTATTTTCCTGCTTCTATTGTTGAATACAGTGTTTGATCAGTTATAGCTTCCGCCTTTACTACTCTTCCTATACCAGGCATTAACCTTGAATGGGTTTTCGATCTTTGTCCAAGGTTAATCGCTTTGTATATGTAAGTCATTCTTTTCTTCTCTATGTCTCATAGTTTTATCTTTCTGATTAATAACAAAATGACTTTTTTCTTCACGCTGTCTCATGAGCAGAACATGAAGAAGATCTATTTTTTTTATCCTATTGCCTGGTATGATGTTTGAAGCTCGGTGGATCTCTTGAGCCATTGCTCCTCTTTCTGTTATTAGGTTTCAACTTCAATGAATTTTCTATCTTCATAGAAAATTCATCGAATTGAATTGGTAGGTCAATTCTTTATTCAACCTATTGGAACTTATAGATAAGGAGTATCTAATTTTGTGTCTTATTACTTTGATCGAGTCTATTAGTATGTTAGAGGTAACCCTAATTTTGTCATTTGCTCTCAAGTTTTGACAGTTCCCTCTTAGTTGAGTTGTTAGTATATAGTTGACTTGAATCACAACTCTCCGTTTCTTTTTGATTAGTGGCATATTGTTCCTAAAAGGAAAGTGTTGAACCCTTTATGTAGGATTGTGGGGTTCGAGATTCGGTTTCAAACTATTTATGGGTGTTGTGGGAATTCCACTAAGCTTTTATAGTCTATATTTCTTGACAATCAACTAATCAATAGTATTTTAACGAGGGTTTAATTATCATTATCAAAATGGAATCAATGATATATTTTGATATTTTATATTCTTAAATGATGATGGTATTTCTCTGAATATTCGACCTATATTTTCTTTCTTTATGTATAATTCGGTCGAAGGATTATCAATAAAATTAAACATATGGATAGACTTAAACGTAACATAAAAATATGAATATTCTGGCCAACGGACCAGGTAATAAGCTAGTATACTAATATAGTGATAATAATATGAATAATTTATGGATGTTATTAGTTTTTATGAAAATAATATATTTATAGAAAATTTGGATAAATATTACAATCTATCTGTTCGGAGAAATAATTTGCAAATTATGCTCGTGAATACATGTATACCCATACATCCGTAGGTATCTGGTGGTTTAAGTTTTCTCTTTTAAAATCGAATGAATATGTTATCCGTTTTTTTTTTTTTTTTTTTTTTTGTGATGTACCGCTGAATTGGGTTTGGACCTAGAAAAATCTGACTAACTTGACCCATTATGATCCCTAATCACCATTGTCTCTTCTTTCTACTATTAGTTTGGTCGTCCCCAGAGATGCATCCATTGTCGGTATAAATGGACTAGTTGTCGACGTCAGACATTATCTTTTCGCACCAGATGTCCTTTGGGAAGAAAAGATTCATTTAAATTTAATGCATTTAATGAGCAAATGAGAAGAAAAAATCTGAATTAAAATCCTGCCCTTGATATAATTAAGTTGTTTTAAACATTAAAATTAAAAGCTGAAAATACTTGATTCTGGACGGCTTAGGGATAGGCGCAGGAAGGAAGTGATAGGCTAAATACGATTAGGGGTTAGAGTCGTTAGCCTATCTGGTTGTAGTTTGTCATTCATTTCAACATCATTATTAAATTTTAAAAGTAAATCCAAAAGAAACCCTAATGGCTAAATCCTTCGTCGCAAGCAGAAAATTGAGTTATTTGAACGAGTCATTTGGTGCTACAATGCTCGTTTGTCAACAAAAAAAAAAGCGAGTCATTTGTAAATAACTTATCGCTCAAATTACTCGTTTTTTTTTTTGTCATTAGTTTTCAATCTTAGCCCTCCCCCTTTTTCATATATCCAATACTAATTCTTTTCTATTTTTTCTTCATAAATCCAATATTTTCCAATTATTTCAAACAACACTTTCCAATTGTTTTCCATGAACATTTTTCAATTATTTCTAATAAAATAATCATTAGTATTCTCAATACCAATTTCAAATATAGGTTATATTTGGTTGTAAAATGCTATACTTTCTAACCATTACAATTTGTAAGAAAGTTAACATAAAATGATTGTTCGGAAATAAAAACTAGTATTATTATATAAGGCTAAAATCCAAATAATATGTGACATGTTGGTTGAAAAATGAATTTTATTTTTGTGATTGACTTTATTAGGATAGCAAACAAGAAAATGGAACATATTATATGTGGGGACAAAATGGTAAAATTATATAAATGAGTCACTGAAATATGACTCTTGTAAAAATAACACATTTGAAATGTCTGCATTACCAAATATCTACATTTTTCAAATATCTACATTCAGAAATACACCAACAAATAAATCCTTTTAATTTCTAAACTCATACATAATTGCTACGCCTCATAGTTTTGCCCGAGTAGATAGTTTCACAATGTATTAGTAATTTGAGAATCATATCATCTTACAAAGCAAGTACGAATGGCATGCATAGTGTCACATCCCAATTCTTTGAAAATTGGTTGATATAAGTCACACACATAATACACTTGCATAAGGCCTACGAAGCACGTGATTAGAGACATTCAGTTTGCATTGTCTTTTTTTAAGTTGGGTAGTTATTAACAAAAACAATTCTTAGAGAATGGATTTCTGGTATTTATATTTGAAATCATCTAGCTTCCTTGTTTGTGTTTCAGTTCAAATGTACACTCAGTAAAATAGTAAAATAAGATTGAGATAATATATTGAGATATTGGAAAGAACCAAACAATCCAAGGGGTCCTTTTACAATGGGTGCAGACAAATATTGCTACAAGAGTTAGCGACCTGACTATATGTAGTCAGTCCACAAGGCGATAAAAGCTATATCGTTACTCAAACAAGCAAAATAGCTATCAAATGCAGAAGCAGAGCAGCTTGTGGTTGGACAAGGGGGAGATACATGGATCGCCATCTTGAAAGGCGATAAAATGAATGTCGCTTGGGGCTTTGGCAACTTTCTCTCTTATTGGGACGATGGAGAGGGAAGCATATAGAGTTTACTACCTTGCAGATCGTGTGGCTGGAAAATTATCTATGTTACATCAACGCCTAAGCGAGCAATATGTGTCTAACTCCCTCGACCAATCAAAAGGATGGTCGCCAGCCAAGGTGACGACATTCACTCTCATCCAACAATTAAAAAATTCCACCTTCCACTCCTCCTTCCTCCATATACCCAACACCTCCTCCCTTCTCTCACAATAGTCACACGCCAACCAAGTTCGGTGGAAACTCCGCTGAAATTTAGAGGGAAATTTTTTAAGGTAATTTTCTTATGTACAATTAAGTGCACTTTGTCAACTACACCAAGAAATTGAACTCAACCGTTTTCGTGTTGGGAGAATAATGATAGCTTTAATTATAATATTTCATTAAATGAGAATGTGGTACAAGACGTGTAAATTAATTAGAGGAATCCTACTCCATGATAATAAGGTTATTGTTATTAACTGTGGCTTTTGCAGCCAAATGGATTTTCACTATGGCGTAGTATACCAACTGTCGGCAAAGTATCCTGGTTATCTGGAATTTGGTGGCCATATAGTACTTGTGAGGAAATGATAGAATG